GGCCTGCGGGCCTTGAGTTTGACACCCCTTCACTAAACAATGTTCATCGAACAACAACTTAATGATGTGTAGACACAACCGGCTGGCGAATTCTGGGAGCTGATGTCCAAACATCTTAAGGTTGCCAAATTTGAAAAAAACACTGTATTAAATATATATCTCTCTTACAAACTAGCAGCTATCTAGGTTTTCCAATTCAGTTACAGTAGTTTTGTTCTAGTTTATACAGGTATATAGCAATAGCAATAGTACTAAGGCTTACATATTGCCTCTGGTGCTTTACAGATCTCTCTGGACAGTTTACAATGTCGACCTATTGCCCCATCAATCTGGGTTATCATTTTACTAACTTGGAAGGATGAGTCAACCATGAGCCTGTCAGGATCAAACTCCAGGCTGTGGGCAGAGTAAACCTCCAATACCACACTCTAACCACTGTGCCACCATTAATCTTAATTTTTTTTAAACAGGAAGCAGTCCTACTTTATTTTGCATTAAACAGGTCTTCAATCAAATTAGGATGTTTCCTGCTTATCTAAATTGCTGGTCCACAAAAGTTGGTCAAAGATGGATAATTTTCACAAAGCACCGATCCATTTGAGAGTTTCACACAATGTTGTTGCGCTACCCTGTGCTTTAGTATTATGACTAAGAGAAGAAATATGAATATAGGAGCAAAGGTAGGATATTTAACTGAGGCATGCCAGTAATTGCTGGATTAACAAACAGTGCAGGTATAACCACAACTATACGCAAACTTCAGCTGCCCTAATAGGTACAGGATGCTGTACTCTAGAAAAGCAATAGCGCCGCCTGGTGTGCAATAGATATAAAGCATCTCACAAAGGCCAATCAAAGTTGTCTTGCACAGATCATATTTACATAGAATCATGGGATTAAAAGGATCCTTGGAGGTCTTTTAGTCCTACCCTCAAATAATAATCTGTGAGGGGCTGCTAATCAATAGAGACAGGGCAAATGGTGAGTGGAGCTTGTTTTTCCTCCCCTTGTCTTCCTCCTTACCAACGATAGTTTCCTTGGGCTTTCTGCTTTGACATAATGTCACAATTTATGTCATAATTTGTACAGGGAAACATTGCAATCTATGTACACCTTTGAACTCATTGTTATACCCTCTGGCCCAAACTTAAATGAAATTAGATGTATGAATAAATTTTGAATGTGGGCCAAATTAATGTGGGTCAATGAGATTTTTACTTAGATATCAATGTTGCCCTGGTTATCCAAAATTGTAAGAATCAGATCTCAGTTTTTAATATGTTATAACAGAGACAATATGGGTCTTTCTTGAATCGTCTGCTCTTTCAGAAAACAGAAAACTGTTGTCCTACAATCTGGGGGACAAGGCTCTTTTTTGGGCCTGCAATTTAAATTGGCAAAAATAGAGCCAGTCAACTCTAAAACACAGCCAGCCAGACAACTGGATAGAGAGGCCCTTTGCTTAGTCACTCAGATCCTGGTCATCTTCTGTCTAGACTACTACAATGTGATTTACATAGGACTATCCTTGAAAAGTATCTGGAAGCTTCAGCTGATACAGAATGCAGCCATGCTAGCAATCTTGGGCGCCCCAAGGATAATGTATGTAACATCTCTACTGTATGAACTCATTGGGTGCCAATTTGCATCTGGATCCAATTCAAGATGTTGGTTATAACCTTTAAAACCTTACATGGTATGAGCTAGGCCTGAGATGGCGAACCTATGGCATGCGTGCCACAGGTGGCACGCGGAGCCATTTGTCAGTGTAAGCGAGGCGTTGCCCTGTCAGCTGGCCAGCGCGCATGCACGCTCTGGCCAGTTGAGTCCAGCCTTTTTTAAAGCCATTTTTCACCCTCCCCAGGCTCCAGAGACTTTATAGGAGCCTGGGGAGGGTGAAAAGAGCCTCCCACGGAGGCCCTCTGGAAGCTTCAGGAGCTTCCCTAAAGCCTCCGGAGTGCAAAAAAACGGCTCTATGGGCAAACTAGAAGTTCGGAAATGAACTTCCGGTTTACTTGTACAGTCGGTTTAAGCTCTCTGGAGGCTTCAGGGACCTTCAGGAGACTTCCCTGAAGCCTCAGGACTAAAAAGGACCTTACGAGCAAACCAAAAGTCACTGAAGCCTCCTGAAGGTCCTTGAAGCCTCCGGAGGGCTTAAGCCGACTCTACGAGCAAACCAGAAGTGATTTCCAGTTTGCTCGTAGGGTCATTTTTTGCCCTTCAGAGTCTTCAGGGAAGCCTCCTGAAGGTCCCTGAAGCCTCCGGAGGGCCTCCGTGGGGGTGGGTGGGAAGACTGTTTTCGCCCTCCCCAGGCTCCTATAAAGCCTCCAGAGCCTGGGGAGGGCGAAAAAAACAGGCAAAAAATGCGGGGATCACCTCTCATGCTCGCATGCGCACTGGGGGTGTGTGTCGCCCATTGCATTATGGGTGCAGCACGCCTGCACAAGACCCCCCTGCACTTCCCCCTTATGACATGCAAGCCAAAAAAGGTTCGCTATCACTGAGCTAGGCTAAGGAACTACCTTCATCCCATTATACTGGCCCATTCCAGGCAGGGAAAGTATGCTGTGGACACCATCAGCCAAATAATTCACCATCATTCTGGCAGGGAGAGAGCCTTTTCTGCCATTGCCCCTACCCTGAAGAACATTTTAAAAATTTATTTATTTATTTATTTATTTATTTATTTATTTATTTATTTATTTATTTATTTAGTCAGTCAGTCAGTCAGTCAATCAGTCAGTCAGTCCGTCAGTTAGTTTGTCACTCAGGTACAAAATAATAGGAATAAGAATAAACATGAATAAGAGCACAGGAAATGGGTACAAATAAATGGGGACAGTAGGACAGGGACGCTAGGCACCCTAGTGTACTTATGCGAATTTCTATCTTACGACCAGCACACCCACACCCACTCTCCAAGCTGTTGTAAATGTTTAACAACTTGGCTCTACCATCTTTCTTGGGGGTCTGAAACCTCTCCCCCACCTTAAATCATGAACTTAAATTATTTTATTCCTACATACATATACATAATATGTATGTATGCATGTTTTAATGTATATCTGTACACAGTCCAGTTTAACCCGACTGTCCCATCATAATTCTCAGCTTTAAGTAGACAGATCTGCTAATATCTAGAAGCAAGCAAAGTTATGACCAGAAGCTAACACAGGTTTGTCAAAAACAGATCATGCTAAACAAATCTTATTTCATTCTATGATAAAAGTGACTAAATTAGTGGACCAGCAAAATGCAGCAGCTGTAGTATACTTGGATTTCAGTAAGGCATTTGACAAAGTAGAACCACAACCTATTTCTTGGTTAGCTTAAAAAAATATGGGATAGAAAGTATTACCACCAGATGGATTTATAATTGAATGTGTAGTTCTTAACAGAACTACATCTACTTTGAGGAAGTATGATGTGGGCTATCCCCATGGTTCCGTTTTAGGCTACATACTCCAACAACTTCATAAATGATTTAGATGAAGGAATAGGGGGGGAAAACTCATCAAATTTGTAGCTGACACTAAACTGACAGGAATAGCAATACCCCAGAAGCAAAACCCTACTCAAGATCTAGATGGATCTCTACAGACTTGAACGCTGGGCTCTATCTAACAAAATGAAATGAAATGCAGAAAAAAGTAAGGTTTTACACTTAGACAATTAAAAAAAACAAATGTACAGGTACAGATTAGGTAAAAACTTGGCTCAATAGCAGTATCTCTGTGAGGGATCATAGAATCCTAGTGGACAATCATTTAAATTTAAGACAGCAGTCTGTGGCAGCAGCCAAAAAAGCCAATCCAATCCTAGATTGCGTTAACAGAAGAACTGGACTAGAAGATCTCCAAGACCCCTGTTGGACTTTGGTCACTTCTTACTATAGCAGTTTAAAGAAAATTCTGGGGCCAAGTGAGGAGACACCAAAGTCTTTCGCATATTGTTTTTCTGGGGAGCTGCTTCCACCTCGTTACAAGCCTGGCCGTGGCCGGAGATGCCCTCGACACTTTCCCACAGGCTTTGGCCATAGACGCCGGTTTCTCTTCCAGCCCATTAAAAGAGGGCGAGGCTTCAACCGCAAGGGCCTCGCCGCGTCTTAATTTTGTTGTTAACCCTTCTCTGTGAGGCTGCGTGAAGAGTCTCTCTCCCTGACCTTTTTAGCAGTTTAAAACTTCATTCATTTACGCCCCGCCTTTATTATTTTTTATAAACAACTGAAGGCAACAATAACCTGAGCGCAGATTGTTTGCGCATGTGTTAAGCTTGCAACTTTTGCTTCAGTTTGCATTTCTGAGCTACGAAGCCCCAATCGACGTTTAGCCTATTTAGCGGACTGGCGTTGCAAAGTGTGTGTCACCCACCCACTAAAGGCATCTCAAAAGGGACTGGCGTTGCAAAGAGTTGGGTATACCACCAAATTTCCCTTTTTTTTTTAAAGGGTGTGTAGAAAAATGCAATGTTATCATCTGGTCACCATGCAGCCGGCTATGGAGCAAACAGATGTTGGCTGGCATGAATGCAATACAATAGAATTCTTTATTGCCAAGTGTGATTGGACACAAGAAATTTGCCTTTGGTGCAAATGCTCTCAGTATACGTAAAAAAGACAAGATACTGTCGTCAAGAATCATAATGTACAGCACTTAATGGTATAGGGTACAATTAAGCAATCAGGAAACAATCTATGCCAATATCAATCGTAAGGATACAAGCAACAAATAATATATGAACCTCCAACCTCCTGCCCAAGGCCAAACGAGGAGATCTCGGTTGGCTCGCCCGCTAAGGTAGTATTTGCAACCCCGATCCGAGATTCTTTACCCCAATTGACTCCCCCTGAGGATGCGTATGGTAACTATATCAACCCGACACGGGTGATTCCCCCCCCCCCTGTTGTTAATTGCAACTCGTTAGTTGTTATTGAAAAGTGCATAACGTAACAGCAGGAGATCCTTCTCTGAGCTGGATCTCCCCACCCACTCACACACATACACCCGCGCCCTCCCTGCCTCGCTGGCGATTTCCACAACGGCTTCTAATGCCTTCGCTCTTTTGAACGCCCAGAACAAAAGTCCGGGCAATCTGCTCGTCGGCCGCGCTGTGGGCGACTTGTGGCCGGAAGTGTTTTACGACCTAGGCCAAGTAGGTTCCAAGCGAGCGAAGATCACCTTGAAGGGTAAAATGTGGGAAAGTTTAGACTAAGACGAAGTATCCAACCTTGGCAACTTTTAAGACCTTAACTCTCAGAAACTCCCTGGGAATTGAAGTCCGCAGGTCTTAAAAGTTGCCAAGGTTGGATACCCCTGGACTAAGAAGGGAGGAAGTATGGTCTCTCTGCTCTGCTTGTGCACGATCGGGGCTTGGCAGAGCCGCGGTTGTTGGCACGGACTGGGCATCGGTAGACTCTGGGACTACAACTCCCATCATACTCCCGGCCGGCCCTCAAGAAGGCTGGGATCCTCGGCACGCGTGGGTGGCGCACGTGCGTCTCCCACGTGAGTTGTCTTGACTTGCGAACCGCTGCGCCCAGGCTGAGCCTCTCGGCAAAGGACCCCCTATTCACCCCTCTCGGCACTTGTGGTTGGTAAACGACGATTTGTCATTTTGAGTATGTAGGAAGTAGGAGTGCCATAGCTGGACTGCAGATGCCTCCACTGGCCACTAAGATAGCAAGAACCAAATTTATAGTTTTCGCTAGATTTTTATGATTCCTTTGTATCCTTTGACGTGGGATTTTTGCACCCCGGATCTTTATAACAAATTCAGCCTATTGTTGGCAGCCATAGTTAAAGGCACAGCAAAACTATCCACTCACACATTCTGGTTTCTTCCAGATATATGATAGGATTATCAGGGATAAAATGCTTGGGAGGTTGTGAACTAAGGTTGCAATGTATTCTTCTCTCCTTTTTAGATCAAAATGGGATTCATCTTTTCAAAGTCTATCAATGATAGCCTAAACAATCAGAAGGAATTCATGCTTATGAATTCTCGACTTCAGGTAGGTGGTTTTTTTTTTTTTTTTTTTTGCATTATAGAACTTTGTAAAAATGTGAAGATATTTAGAAATACTGTAGGATTCTGTTCTCTCTTCCATTAAAAAAAAATATTTTTAGAGTTAGGCCAAGTCTTCAAAATACAGTAATAGAATAAATTCTTTATTGGACAAGTGTGATTGGACACACAAGAAATTTGTCTTCGGTGCAGAAGCTCTCAGTGTACATAAAAAGACAAGATACTGTTGGAAGAAATGTCGTTCTGGGTTCAGTTCCAAGAGGGGAAAAGACACTGGAAACATGGAGGCTACTTGGAAAGTTGCTTTTAATGGTGGAAAGGACCACATGGTTTGAAGTCCTGGGGAAAAAGGTGATCACATGCTTCAAGATGTTGAGTGAAGAAAAAAAAAGATGAAAGTTCCTGGTTTTACGCCCTCTCTGACCTTAATCTTGTATTCTGATTGGTTGTCAGACTCCCATGGGGCCATGCAGGGGCAACTCTCTAGGCTATGTTTTGAGTCCAAGTTTGGTTGAGCATTGCTTCTTCCCAGATGCTATGTGGTGAGTTTCTGTGGAAGGCTAATCCTATCTTTGTTATGTAGAGTAGACTAGCTTAGGACCCCTAATAGCCCATTAAGAAAGAATTGGGAGCTATAAAGAGTGAGTCTTGTTTCCTGCCTAAAAACATGTTTCTCTATTTCTTATCCAAGGAACTGTAATATTCTGTCTTTTCAAAATTTGCCAGGATATTTTATTTTTCTAGGAGGAGTGGGTGCTACCTTCCTACAATACATTCATCATGAATCATATTTGTACCCTATGACTATCACTTAATGATAGTCATAGGGTACAAATAAACAATCAGGAAACAATCAATATCAATATGAATCGTAAGGATGCAAGCAACAAAGTTACAGTCATGCAGTCATAATGGGAGGAGATGGATGATAGGAACAATGAGAAGACTAATAGTAATAGTAATGCAGTAATGCAGTCTTAGTGTATAGTTTAATAGTGGTGAGGGAATTATTTGTTTAGCAGAGTTCGGGGGAAAAACTGTTCTTTTATCTAGAAAAATAAAAGATAAAATAAGGTGCCCATGTCATTTCATTTTGTCCAATTCTAAGGGGGAGATAGTTGATATATTGCATTTGGTAATAAGACTATATCTAATTGACAGCTACTATAATATATTTTTATTTATTTTATCATATTTAAGAACTACCCATCTCCCTCACAGTGGGAGGCCTTTGATAACAATCTGTCTATTCATAAGTACGTTTCGTTGAGTTCAATTTATTTTTTATGCACTGCAGATTCATACTATATCGTTCTATTTAGAAATCAGTTGTTGATTTCAATGTAACTGTGCCCAGGTAAATAGATACTGTATTCTAACATTTGTTACCTATCTGTAACAATTTTACATGAGGACATGATTTTGTGCAGTTTGCCACCCACAATATAAACCATACATTTCTCTGTCAACAAAGAGATCCTAAACCTCAATTGTCTGCTTCCTAAGTACAAGGGAGGTGTAACTGAGGTGTAGGCTTAATTGGTCATCAGTGATCATGGTCATAAGTAGAGTTGTGGTTTCCTCGTCTTCTGACACCAACCTTAGTCTTCCTTCTTCAAGTGTGCAAAATCTCCTATGCTTCCTTACTTGCTACCAAAAAGGTGGACTCGGGTGACCAATAGTGAGTCTTCGACTTACAATCATGAAATTTATGTTACTAAGTGAGACAGTTGTTAAATGAGTTTTGCCCCATTTTATGACCTCTCTTGCCACAGTTGTTAAGTGAATCTCTGCAGTTGTTAAATTAGTAGTAACTATGAGAGGGATCTTGGAGTCCTAGTGGACGACCATTTAAGTATGAGCCTGCAGTGTGCAGCAGCTGCCAAAAAAGCCAACACAGTTCTAGGCTGCATAAAGAGAGGGATAGAATCAAGATCACATGAAGTGTTAATACCACTTTATAAGGCCTCGGTAAGGCCACACTTGGAATACTGCATTCAGTTTTGGTCACAATGATGTAGAAAAGATGTGGAGACTCTAGAAAGTGCAGAGAAGAGCAACAAAGATGATTAGGGGACTGGAGACTAAAACATATGAAGAATGGTTGCAGGAACTGGGTTTGTCTAGTTTAATAGAAAGAACATGATAGTGTTTCAATATCTCAGGGGTTGCCACAAAGAAGAGGGAGTCAAACTATTCTCCAAGGCACCTGAGGGTAGAACAAGAAGCAATGGGTGGAAACTAATTGAGAGAAGAAACTTAGAACTGAGGAGAAATTTCCTGACAGTTGGAACAATTAATCAGTGGAACAGCTTGCCTGCAGAAGTTGTGAATGCCCCAACACTGGAAGTCTTTAAGAAGATGTTGGATAGCCATTTGTCTGGAACGGTATAGGGTTTCCTGCCTAGGCAAGGAATTGAACTGTTTGTTAGCCGCCCTGAGTCTCTCGGGAATAGGGCGGCATACAAATGGAATAAACATTTCAAACATTTCAACTAGGAGATCTCCAAGGTCCCTTCCAACTCTGCTATTATATTGTATAGTAACACGGTTGTTATGTGACTCTCTGCAGTTGTTAAATTAGTAACACGGTTGTTAAGTGAATCTGGATTCCCCAATGACTTTGCAAAGTCACAAAAGGTGATCACAGGACCCCAGGGACACTGCAACCAAGTCAAAAATATGGGTCAGTTGCCAAGCATTTGAATATAGACCATGTGACTTGCAATGCTGCAGTGGTCATAAGTGTGAAAAACAGCCATAAGTCACTTTTCTCAATGCAGTTGCAACTTTGAACAGTCACTGAATGAACTGTTGTAAGTCGAGGACTACTTGTGTTCAGAAGGGTTGGTAGGCATGGATGTGCCCCTTTTCTCTGGCCATTAGCCATCTTCCACTGAGCCCATTTTTCTCACACTATTTCCATTTTTCCACTTGCACTTTGTTTCTTGCATTCCTTTCACACTCTTTACCTATCTCCTCATTGTTTTCAATAGTAGCCTCTATTCAGGCTTCCCAAAAGGCAGAGCAAAATTGTGCATTTTTATTGGCAGAAGAGAAAGAGAATGGGGGTTCTGATTATTTGTTTCTATGGACTTCTCCACTTATATCTTTATATAAAGCTTTCCCTCATTGTAGTTTTCCTGAATAATAATGAGGGATATTGAACTGGGCTTTGTGGCTTGTTTGCCAACTTCTCTCTTTTTGCCGCTTTCAATCACCGCCCCCCCCCCCCCGCCATCCCCAGGACAAAGAGGTGGTTCTTCCTTATTAGACTTTGGAGGAGTTAGATGGTTGCACAGCATGGCAATATTTGTTTATGTCTTCACTAGATCTATTACTGTCCACCAGGACGGCATTCAGGTGTCTAATAATAGGCTGCCCTGGTACCTATTATTATTGTTATGTTGTGGGGAGGAAGGACAGACAAGTGAGTTGTGAAGTCAGACCTTCCATATCTGCTTAGTGACTTGATTTTTTTCTGCGCTGGCTGACGATGTGATAAAAGTGAGCTGTAAAAAGTCCAACAAGCCAGTTGCCTTGCTCATAATACTTAGCAGCTCATAAGACAGACCCAACAGAGGCAGGGTGGGCACCAACAACAGGATCAACAAATGTATTCCAATTTTGTTTTTCTGCCAGGTTTCACAGACGAGTACATAGAAACTTTAACTCCATAGTGGGGTGAGGAAAAGAAAAAAAGACAGAGAGGGACTGAGACTTTTCAGAGCCAGGTAGCACTTTATTGTGTATCTAGCTGGCTGGAGAATTCTGGGAGTTGAAGTCCACAAGTCTTAAGGTTGACAAGTTTGAAGACCTCTGATCTAGAATTTGTTGCTTTAGAGGTCTGTAGTAGGAGAGTTCCAGAGCATTCATATATACAAGTAGTCCTCGACGTACGACCAAAACAAAGCCAAAATTTCTGTCCTTAAGTTTGTTAAATGAGCTTTGCCCCATTTTACGACCTTTCCTAACCACAATTGTTAAGTGACTCACAGAAGTTGATAAGTTAGTAACCCGGTTGTTAAGTGAATCTGGCTTCCCCATTGACTTTGCTTGTTAAAAGGTCATAAAAGAAGGATCACATGACCCCAGGACACAGCAATGGTCATAAATATGAACCAGTTGCCAACTGTCTGAATTTTGGTCATATGACCAGAGGGATGCTAACGGTCGTGTGAAAAATGGTCATGTCCATTTTTAGTGCCATTGTAACTTTGAACTGTTTACTAAATGCACTGTTGTAAGCTGAGGACTTACCTGTGTCTAATAAACTGAATTGTAACAGCAGGTGGCAGCATTGTAACTATCATTGCATGCTAAAGCACGATTTGAAACTATTTTGATATCCAGTATGGTGATATATGACCATAATTTGGATTATGATGCAAGACATAAAACATGTTGATAATATAATAGAAATAAAGATAGTCCTTGACTTAGCAGCCGAAATTGAATGAATGCATAATTACGATTGTAAATCATGAGGGTTATTAAGCAGGTGATCACATGACTACACCCAGTTTTGTGACTTTCTTTGCAAGGGTTGTTAAGCAATTACTGTGGTCATTAAAAGAAGCCATTGTTTACTGTGGGCATTGTTGTTTTTGTTGTTTTTTGTTTTTGTTTTTGTTTGTGCTGGAAACCAGGAATAAATGCGGTTTCCTAGCAAAAAGATTGCAAATTTTGATCATGGGACTATGGGATGAGAATGCCCAAAATGCAGTCACATGACCATGAGGATGGTGCAGCCATTGGACCTTTGAATCTGAGTTGCAGATTACTTTTTCAAGATTTACTGTAACTTTAAACAATTGCCAAGGGATTGGTTATAAGTCAAAGAGTACCTATACTTAATAGTCTCCTGTTTGGAGTATTTGAACTTGTAGCGGTGACTTGACACCTAGCTGTTAACCAGATTTGACATCAGGTGATACTGGTAATTTCGAATAATCAAGAATTATGATGTGGCACTTAATCATTTCCTGAGGAAATAACAGTATTAGATTTTCCGTTCATAAAATTTTGGAGCTGACTAACTGTTAAAAAATTAACAACATTGGAAAAAATTTGATTGCACGATAACTTTTCACTTTTCTTTACTGATTCATAAATTAAGAGATAACCAATTACACAGGATGAATCTATGACTATATAATGAATCATGCCTGCTTTTAAGGGCTATCCTAAACATACCTTTCACTAGACCAAGTATTAGCAAATTTGTAAATATTTTTAAATAGTTTCATTCTGACAAATAGAAGTTGTCATAATATTGAGACCTTGCACGAATATTTATGCAGTATTTTGAACAAATGTATGATATGTTATAATCCAACAAGTAGTTTAAGTTAACAATTCTTTACCCTGAAATTATGAAAATAGGCACCAAATATATACAGTAAAGGCTGAAAACATTGTTATTCTGTATTACTGAAATGTGTAAGTAATTTTTTTTTTCTTTTTTACATTCAGCTAGAAAGGCAACTTCTGATGCAAAATCAAATGCGTGAGAGACAGATGGCCATGCAGATTGCGGGCTCAAGGGAGTTTCTCAAGTATTTTGGATCATTTTATGGCCTTACAACTCTGGGTCTAACAATGGGGTATGCAGTTATTCCTCCCCCCCTTAAATAGCAAATGAGAAACAGATTTTATTGGTTTTACTCTCATTCTTTCAGTTTTTAAAGCAGTGGTTCCCAAACTTGGCAACTTTAAGACGTGTGGACTTCAAGCAGAGCTGGCTGGAGAATTCTGGGAGTTGAAGTCCACAAGTCTTAAAGTTGACAAGTTTGGGAACCACTGCTCTATATCACTCTGATATATCAAGCAATACAGGCTAGTAATTGCTTGTTTAGAATAAACCACTGGAATGGGAGGAGAGAATTTTCTTATCAAGAAATGCCTTGCATTTCAGAGTGGAAAACATAACATTAGAACAAATATTTATCATAATTACCTTCAGTTAATATGGCCACAAACAAATTTACAATAAATGAGTAAAACAATGGGAGATTGTTCTGCTATATCTGGTGAACTGAAAAAGCCCTTACAATAATCAATTAAGCAAATGTGGGATTTACAGTTAGCACAACAAAATATGTTAACATAATTGTTAGCAATCTATATTAATAGCACATTAAAAGAACTGAGTATGTGTGAGATAATATCCATATTATTTACATAATTATACCAAACGAAAATATAAACTAAAAGCTACACAGCTTTATTTATTGCCACAAAACAATTTCAGCATTAAGTAAACTTAATATTTTGCATTTAAAGCATTTTATCTGGATATTGATTATATTACTTTTTATTGCTTATTTATCTAGTTTTTTTTCCAATACAGAGCAATAAAAAATAAGAAACCTCAACTCTTTATTCCAGTTATACCTCTGAGCTTTATACTTGCCTATCAGTATGATATGGGGTATGGAACCTTACTACAAAGAATGAAAAGTAAGTACTGTATACAGAAAGTTACTGTTGGTGATTATCTCTGGTCTTACAAACTTGATGCAATATATTAATCTTTTTCTTCAGGTGAAGCCGAGAACATAATTGACACAGACTATGCTGTGCTAGAAATGCCAAAAGGACCTATCACTTTTGATGATCTTGAAAAAGCCAGAAGAGCACAAAGCAAATTTTTTATTGAGAAATAAAATAGGTATGTTTATAATCACATTGCTGATTAAACACTGCTTAAACGCCGATACAAGCATGGTATGTGGGGCCTTTTCTGAAACTTGAAAAGTTCATAATTTTCTCCATCAGAAAAGGAATATAAGGGTGCTAAAACCAGATCTTTATTCTCCGTCCCAAACAAAGAGAGGCATATTTTTAACTATTTTAATTAGGAGCAGGAACAGACAGTTTCTATTGATGATCAAATTGTATATGCTGACCAAATAAAGTGAAACTTTTAAAATAGTATTGCCTGTATATCACCTGCTTTATTAAATAAAACCATGTAATAAAATATGAATTCTATTATTTTTAAATTATTTTTAAACTACTTTTATTTTTTATTCATTTTAGTATCTCATCCTTTTGGGCAGGCTGACCTCGATACCCTTTCATAATAGATCCTGAAATACATAGTAATGGCAGAGAATTGAACAGAATAAGGATACTGTTATTAGAAAGGAATCCATACAACCTGTATGAATCCTCTGCTCAGTGTCAAATCACCTTGTAGTACTTTCATACAAGGGTGCAGCTGCTTTCTAAACTGATGTTTAGGTTTTCCTTACACGCTTTTCCAAGGCACAGGACAAACAATAATTCAGAATAAGAACAGAGTTGTCTGAGAGCCATTCTATTGACCTTACGAGTTGATTTGGAGCATAGATATTTTCATCTGGGGGAAAAAACACCACCTTTTCATCTGAAAATTTTTTCACCAGTACATTGTTCTCTTTAAAAAAAAAAGAACTTCAAGAACAATTAATTGAACTCTTAGGCATTTTGGTTCATGAGCATGCAGCCACGATCACAGCGTGTGTGTGAAACACTTGTAACTTTGAGAATGGGTTGTAACTGGACTTTTTAAAAGTCCATTGTAACTTAAAATGGTTGTTCAGCAAGTGGTCGCACATCAGAGACTGCTTGTACTTGCAGTAATAGACTGGGAGATTATCTGGGGTGTTGTTGCTTCCACAGGTAACAACTAGTTTTCCAGTTTTGTTTGTGGTAGGTCACCAGGAGTCACTGATCGAGGTGGCTGCTAGGAACAGGTGTGCCATTTGCACAGTAGCAGCAGCAGGCCTGGCTATTAGGGGACAGGTTACCATTTTTCTCAGTTTTTCTCCAAGTGTGTTGTGCCTTATTTGATCCTGAGGACATCATATGTACCTATCTGAAGCTTTAGGAGTCAACAATAATTTTTTGTAATGGTGCAATGGTTTTCATTTATATCTACCTAATATTTGGATAGGACCTGAATAATTAAATTTCCCATGGTTAGTGACAATATATTAATTTTCTTTCTAGGTACAATATTCAAATAGAAATGTCCCCGTATATTGGATTTCTTATAAGCCATATAATTATTTGGATTATTTATTTTTCATAACTGATCCATTATGCAGCATTCACTGAGTTGTGGTAAACCATTAATACACATTAGCTATCCAGCCGAAATAAGCCACTCAATGTCTATGAATTCTGAGTGCATACAGGTGGCTGGATGAGTCACTGAAGCGATAGGCATGAGCTTAAATGGACTCGAGGATAGTAGAGGACAGGAAGGCCTGGAGGAGCATTGTCCATGGGGTTGCAATGGGTCAGACCCGAGTTTGCAAGCAACAACAACAGTGCAGCTATGTACTGTTATTGTCAACTTGTGGTCAACTAATGACTACAATTGAGCCCCAAATTTCACTCACTATGTGAGACGTGAGTTTTGCCCATTTTGTAATGTTTCTTGCCAGAGTTGTTAATTGAATCACTGCAGTTAGTAACAGAGTTGTTAAGTGAGTCTGGCTTCTGTAACTGTCATAAATAAGAATTGCCAAACATCTGAATTTTGATTATATGACCATGGGAATGCTGCAATGATCGCAAGTGTGAAAAATGGTCATGAGTTACTGTTTTCAGTAAACCAAACTCACAGACTGCCAAGGACCCCACAGATGGCACAAAGTGTAGATGTTTGGCAGGGGTTCCCAAAACACAGGGAAAGTTTAACAATGGATATTCAAGAATGACTCCTTAAGATAGATTTCAGCACACGGACAGCAGCCATCCCCGTATGATCAAGTTCTGAAGAAATGAAAACTGTAAGAATGACATTTGAATTGTATTCAGAAACACTCATAAACAAGTGGGGGTGGGTGCGGTGTGGAATCTGAACGCTTGTGTTCAGATATTGTGACTACACGCATCTAGAAAAGGAACATCAAGCATTCAGTGCAGTGTTCAAATTCAGAGGTAATCACATCTCAAGCACAGTAATCCAATTTAGTGGTGATCAAAGACAGAGACGAAGTAAGCAGATGAAATCACTGACAAATTGAGAGGTTCTTCTTAAAACTGCCAAGGTTGAGAAACACTATAGCACCTGTGCAGCGTGTTTGCTTCAAAAAGTGTCAGAAAGGCTTAAGCACCTGTGAAAAGGCATCTATCACCTCAAGATTTAGCAGAATGTTTGACCAAAGTTTTGATGGATGGTCCGCGTGTTTTGCTTGGGCTCTGGGCTTTTTAGTTCTTTTGCTCAGGCACTGGAATTAAATACATTCCATTTATTTGCTAAATCTGATATTGTTAGTAGCCTAGCTGCAAAGCTTTTGTAGCACAAACTGTTTTCATGTAGTGTTCGACCTTTCCTTTAATAAATCCTTGACATGTGAATCCTGCACTTATGTAAATTTTACATTAAATAGGATAGGGATTAATTGGTCATATGGGTGCTTAAATCTCTGCAAATCATAAGCTTACTGGTCGTTCTCGACTTACGACCACAGTTAAGATTGAAATCTGTCATTGAGCCAAGTGATTAAGGGACTTATTCACTAAATACAATCCTTGCATCCCCATTTGTAGTTGTTAAGTAATCTCCAGGGATGCTAACAGGAGTTCCAGGTAAGGAATGCAAGGTGCATTTGGAAGCCCTGGGAAGTGTCCACAAGGGGAGGGGGAGGGGAAATACATAATTGGGCTGCAGAAATGGAGCCAAGATCTTCAGGACTAGATCTGTTCCTGCAGTCCATCAATCCATCCACTGGTAGGAAATCCTTTGTCAGGTTGCAAGAATGGATTTTAATGCTCCTGAAACCCAATGAAGGATTTAAACCCCACACTCCACCCCAAAGGATGGAGAGGAAGCCCTCCCTGGGGTTGGAAATGTCAGAAACCACACAGAGCTGGTAGGAAGCCCTTTCACTCACAAAAGAGCTATCCTGCTGGCCAGGAATCTCAACACCACATGGTTAGCAGGTTTTTGAGATCGTTTTCAGAGATGAGGCAGAATACTCTAAGGAGGTGGCAGCAGCTTGCAACCTTTTGTGTTGGCTTCCCCAGTGGCTTTTTGGGGAAGCCGGCAAAGATTGTAAATGATGATCACATTATCATGCGGTTTGGTGCCAACCTGCCATTAACTGTGAACAGGTTGCCGATGACCCAGTTTGCAATCATGTGACTTGGAGGGTGGGGAAATGCTTTACAAGAGCCGGAAGTGGCTTATGGGCTATAAATTATCTTTTCTGAGAACATCGTAATTTCAAATGGGTGTTAAATGACTAGTTGTAAGTCGATTACCAGTATTTTGACCCTTGAAATCACGCCCAAAGAACAGGTCAAAATCTTCAGCCCAACAAACCATTGGGAGGCTAGATTCTGCAAATGGGAAGTAGGATATACATTGTTGAAATCTGTCATTTCCTCAAGTCTTTCTTTTTTCTTGCACTTCAAAGAACATCCATTTGTAGATGCTTTTATGATTGGTTGATTCTTCTATAAAATGCCTGGATAGGACTATACTCTTTCATAGCAAAGATCTGGTTCATCATCCTTCATTTCAGCAGTGAAATAGCTGTAGTTTTGCAAGGAAGGAGTGAGTCAAAATTATGTAGAAAATAAAGAGAAAATGTAGAGTTTTTAAAAATATTTAATACTCTGTTATCTTAGTATACATTTAAAGCAAATTATTCTGAATTCTATCGACTGGACCACAGACCAATTAGCAAATAAAAATACATAAATGTTTTACAAAATACAATCTATTTATATAAAATGGTATAGATTTTAAAAAAGCAGTAGTTGTATTAACACTTTACTCAATGGAGCAGTCTTATCTGTGCAGCATTTTTTTTTTCCTAAAGCAAGTCACCGCAGTTATTGGTATCATGGTAAACCATTATGATAAAGTGAATAGCGCTCTGGGAAAGGGAGAAAAACAGAAGATTTGTAGTACCCTTTTTATATTAACACACTTTATTAAAACACATTTGCTTTTGTAGGCTATGGCTCACTTCTATCAGAAGCATGGAGTGAGCTGTAGCTCAAAAAAGCTAATTGTTTTAATAAAATCTGGTAATCTGAAAGGTGCTACTAGATTCCTCCTGATTTTTGGCTATCATAGACTAACACAGTTTTCTTCCTATAGTGGAATAGGAAAATAACTGAGAACACTATTGATACGCAAATGGTACAATAATGTGATGTTTAAATGATATGTACAAAACTGTTATCACAGAATTACAGATTTTTTTTATTTGATTGGTTATTATAGCTTTTGAGTTGTGTGAGCAACCAATATTATTCTGAAAGCACAAATGAAATCAAGACCTCGTGCATAAGGACAGGAGCCAGACAGATGCAAGAGCTCAGTAAACATAATTTTTTGAGGACCCTCCTCTCTCGAAAGTCTCTTGTGTCTTTTAAAATCTTGAATCGGAATACTTGTAAAGTAGTCTCCGATCCAGCCTGAAAGACTGTATCCAGAAACTTCCTTGAATATGTGGAAATATTTGTGCCAAAAAACAGAACCTGCTTGAATTTCCATTGAAACAGATCCAAAGTGAAATGGATAAAATGAAAAGGAAATCTGGACAATGCTTTGCTTTTGACAGCACAATCCTATCATGCTCACTTAGAAATAAATCTAAGCTCAAGAAGTTTTACTTTGTGCAAGCATTTATATGGCTGCAACAATGGAAATTCAAAATGGAGGTGGTTTCAAACAAAGCACTTCAATATTTTTGTTAAATATTTTAAATTCCTTATACCAGGAAAGTAGAATATCCCAATTCTATTAGATAAAAAAAAAGTCACTTGAAAAAAATAATTTTGGAAGAACTTTTCTTTGCATTGCACAAAATTCCCTGAGTTTTCTTCCTTTATATGAAATATGAAATCCTCAATCAGACGAAGGCAGTTCAAAAACAAGAGTGATGCCGAACCTGATGGCTCGTGTTGCTTTCAACCTGATGCTACGATCATTTGGTTAACTGGGGAGAATCCCACCACCAAGCATTTACCGCAATATTCTACAAAATCAAAATGCAGTTTCTGTACAATAAATTTTCTATCAATGTACAAATGTGCAATATATCATCCAAAGCCATTAAAAATATACAATAAAACTCTCTCTCTTAAAATGCTATTGGAAAAAAATTCAGCCATCAATAACAGGATAACACACAAAATGTAACTATTTACAATTACAACCTCCCTGCCCCCCTTTGTTGCTTAACATAATTTCCTACTCTTTAAAATAAAATTAAGGTTTTACCTGAGCAAATTAGATATTGGGATGGCTCCTCTCATAAAGGGACTTCCTATCACCTCCCACCAATAGAACTATGGTTTGTGCATGGATTCTCCAAAATAGACGGGTCTTGTTCCCTTACCAGTGAGCCAGACTGAGGAATCTGGCATGTTTGGAAGGGGAGCCATGCCAGGCCTAGTCAGTCCACTTTGATATATATGCCAGTGCTCCTAGTGGCACAAACTATTTTAAACTGGCACTCACAGCCTGGACATCTGCATTTCGAGGTACTTGTTTAATCCCATACAAGATTCACATTGCTGTACCTTCTTCTATGCTTGAGGTAGGTAGGTAGGTAAATAAACTGACTATAGAGGCTTACAGAACATGGCCACCTACCCTACATTTTGCTATAAATACATTTCAAGTTTTAATTTGGCTTCTGTAGCAAAGAGCCACTGCTTCTTTGACCAAACTTACTCATCCGATATTGGGAATTTAATTGAGTTCAAATTTGCTTAAAAGAAACTTCACATTTCGAAAGCAAGACTTGGCGGTCAAACTATGGAAAAAGGAATTCAATTCATTTGCTTTCCTCTGAATTTTTATGGCCAATGCTTAAGTTAACACAGAGTTGGAAAGCACAAGAGTGCCAGAAACAGCGTACTATTTTGCAAACATGAAGTTGTGCCACTGATACTGCCAAGCATAAATCTGCAGGGACTAACCCTTATTTCACAATCTAGGCAGTGTAATCGCAACCAATTCCTATTACACGACTGAAGTCACATACAGCCAAATGATCCAATAACCCAAGAAAAGATGGGCCTCAATTATCCTGGTAACATCACAGACATACTTCTCTTTTCAGGTGAATGAACCATCCTATAAAAGTTAAGGAAATAACAAGACAAACAAGGATTAAGCTGCTACAATATGGTTTCAATCTTTGCACTTTTAAGGAGACATAGTCAAGCATTACAAGTCCACAAACACAAAGGTAGGAAAATAGACAACTATTTGCTTATTTAAAAAGGTAATTTTAACAAGTTTTCTTAAAAAAAAAATACTTATCTGTTCCTTTCCCCCCCGCACAAAAATATATATATATACAGTGCATTATACTGCCTCAACAGGCATATCTGCTTCTTTTACCGACCCGCCACTGGCTCAGATAGGCATATAGTTGCTCAATCAAGTACTAACCCTATGATTTGTTCTCTTCACTGGAGCCATAACACCTCAACATGGTAAAAACTAGCTAAACTAGCATTTTAAAAAATGCAAGCCCTTGTGTAAGCCATGAAAAAGTACGCAAAACCATTTTGTTTCCTATAGAAAAGGCAAATAGGAATTCTCAAGGTGCTTTTTGGAATGTAATCCACAGGCCCTCAGAATTGCTTTACGAATTCTGGCAGGATAGAGATGTCTTCCACATTCTGCAAGTTTCCTTTTTTGGATGCCACACTGAAAGTCTGGGGATCTTCCACGATATAAAGGCAACTCCAAGAGTTAGTTGTGCTATTTTCTCCTCTTATCTTAAGAGCTCTTTGCTTCTCTACCATGTCTTTTTACATTGAATGTATATTCTCAAAAGAATTGCATAATCATATATAAGAAATATGCAATGGGCAAATGAACAAATTAATCTCATCTACTTATAGGAAACACAATGGACAAATGGAGACTAAATAACAAAGTGTAGAAATGATTTTTTTTCTAATCAGTACAAGTGATTGAGACCATAGCGTGGATCTGATGTCCATAGGCATTGCTAAGCTTCAATTCAAACATTTGTTCCTCTTCAAAGTGATGCCTTTAGGAATGTGCTTTTCTTTAACAGTTGTGCTGAAGCCAAACAGTATGCATTCTGCAGGTAATCATCTGTTTAAGAGCACAATTCTATCTGTTTTCTCAAGTCTCAAGAAATTAATAGGGTATACCCCATGGAATAGACGTTATAAGATTGCAGCCTAAATTTTCTTCAGCTGAGAAAAGAAAACATTCGTAGACCAACTCTTCACCTTTCCATGACTTTCCTTCTTGACATTTTGATCTGTAAATCCATTTACAGGGGATGCTATCTACTGTTTTATGCTTTTAAAAAGGGAACTCCTTTTTCTATCAAAGTGCTTTCCGTTGGTGCATTGTGGTAGCATTCCTGATGAAGAAGCTAAAGCAGAGATCTTCACCATTTGTACATTCTGATGGGATGTTCCCCCAAAGTCTTCAAGGATGGGAAGAAGATGCATGGGAAGGCTGATAATCTGCAACTGCTTAAGGAGCAAAGTACATTTGCTCTTCATGTTTGCATGTCCCCTTGAATCAAGTCCAGGATTTTCATCCACCCAGGCCTTCCCTTATGACATCCACTCTCAAAGCAAGGTCCCTAAAAGATGGCCGCTGACTTGTATTATTATTCCAGCACTCTGACATGATGGTATAAACCTTCAAAAGATAAAAACATCAGTATGAGATAACAATAACAATAACAATGACATCAATAATAACAATCCATTCAAAATCACAAGGGGCTACTTATTTTGTCTACTTATTATTAATAACCTTGGAACCAAAGACACTGAACACTTTGGTATACTATACATTAGCTCTTATAAAAATCTTCCTCTCTTAATATCTTAAGCTAAATACATCTAATTTAGTATCTTATACTAAATGCATCTAATTTGTAGGCATACAATTCCTTGATTAGGCAAGAACAACACTGAGAAACTAGTTTAGTCTACATCAGGGATGTCAAACTCAAGGCCTCTGGGCTGGATCCGGCCTGTGGGGTGCTTAGATCTGGCCCACGGGGTCACCTTGGAAACAGGGAAGGACCGGCTCATGGTGCCTCTGCCAGCAAAAAGACGCTTGAGAGGGCCGCATACAGTTCTCCCAGACTCCATTTTTGGCTGCGACGGCCTCCTGCAGCGCTTGCCGGCGAAAAACACCCAAGTTTCATTTTCACTGGCAGAGGACTGCAGGAGCTGTCATGGCCGAAAACAGAGCCTTGGAGTCTGTTTTCGCAGAGTGCTTGGGCCACCACAGGCACCCTCGACAATGAATGATGTCAAACTGGCCACTCCCATGCTGGCCACACCCGCCTCAAGCCCCCAAGGTCAAACACAATCCTGATGTGGCCCTCAATGAAACTGAGTTTGACAGCTCTGGTCTACATAATATATAATTTTAAAGAAAGAGAATAAAATTTAAAGTGTTCTGTGGGGAAAGCAGAAATAGATTACTATATCTTCATCTCCATCTTACCTATTAAATTACTTCTATTGCCAATGAGGCTAATAATCATAATTCTAAATTACTGAGAAAAAAATTATCATTCCATTAAGCCATGAGGTTGTATCCCTCAAGTAAATTCAGGGATGCTGTCTTATACACTGGATATCATTTTCTATTTTCAAAAGGAACATCTATATTTTCATTTTAGAATACCTTTATGGTATTTTACATTGGGAAGTGAAAATCTTATTAAAGTCAAGTAGAAAAAAAACCATGATTTGCCTGCTTTGTTATTATGGTACAATAAGAAAACATTTATGACCATAATAAATGTCCATTGAATTCAAAATCCACTGAATTCATTTTAGGAATGACTCTTGTTCAATGTAGCTGGTGGTATTAGATTTTAAACAAAATATAGGAGGACCTCTAACAGTCAGGAAACTGAAAACAGCCTCAATTCTAGAGGGGATCATTGATTTCACCAACAATTATTACATTTTTAGGCTGCAGCTTTATTTCTAATTAAAACTGTTAATCAGAAATTAAATTACTTTCAATTTTGTAATACACCTACTGAGAGGTAGATGCTGATCACAAAACATCAGGTAATCTTCGCTTAGCAACCACTCATTCAGTGGCTGTTTGAAATTACAACAGCACCGAAAAAGGAGGACTTTTGACTATTCCTTGAAGCTGTTTTGCAGCCTCCTTATGGTCAAGTGACTGTGATTCGGGTGCCTGGCAACCAGCTCACAATTACAATTGTTGCAGCTTCCCGCAATCTCACAATCATTATTTGCAACCCTCCCCTGTTGGCTTCTCACAAGCAAAGTCAATGGGGAAGCTTGGCAGGAGTTTGCAAGCTGGCACCCACTGCTTTTTCTCCCAAGGAGACCCTGGGAGAAGGAACTTAGACTCTGTAGTGCTCACCCACAGCACTGCCCATAGCTCTTGCCCAATGGGCTGCTTTGCTAGGATGTGGTTTCAGTGGTGTTAGGAAATGTTTCTGGATTCCTATTTCTTGTCATGTTGCAGTCATGTAAGGTCCCTTGCCTAATGACTTATGCAGTCCTAGATTAACGAACAGCAAGGTTGTCTGGATGGCAGTCACTAAGTGATACGGTCATGTGATGATGCACTTCATGACTGCATCATTTAATAAGGGAAAGCCCAGTCACAACTGCCGTTGTAAACTGAGGACTACCTGTAGTCCGATGACAAGTAAATACAAGCAATCTTTCTCTGATGGCACCATCTCTACTAACTGCAGAAACAATTCAGGCCTTCTCGTTACAACCCAATACCTCATCAGGGCATCCATCGGGTCTTGGCAGCCTCGCGCTATTCTTCAAAAGCTCTATCAAATGGAACACAATCATCTGGTTTTGCTTATCGTTTCCAATCATGCGCATGAACTCCTGAAATAAAAATCCAAAACTGAATTGTTACAACAATGATGATAGGGTTCTAGGATTATTTACGGTATCTTTAAAAAAAAAATCAAATTTGAATTATCAGGGCAAGTAATAAACACAGACAAAGCAACAATAAACTTCAGTTGGTGAAAGTTGCAATCACATCATTTAAGACGCGATAACCATCATAAATACATACTGATTGCCAAGTGCTCAAATTTCAATCACATGGCTATGGAGATGCTACAACAGTTTTAAGTGTGAGGATTGGCCGCATGTCATTTTTTCAGTGACATTGTAATTTTGAATGGTTGCCAAACAAATTGTTGTACCTATAATTCCATCTAGCAGCCGCTAAAATGTCTGATAAAGAAAACAGAATCATTACACTGGTTACACTGAGAAATAAACTCCATTTGGTTCTTCCCAGAGTTTGAAATTTTTTCCATTCAATGTGGTAACTTTATACATATTGTAATTTTAAGTGTTTGTGTTTTACAACCCTTGCCTTCCTTTTCTCTCATATTCTCTTTTTTTCTTGCAATCTTGTCTTGAAACATAAGCTAAAACACATTTCTGGCAAGCTGTTTTAGAGATTTTTTTCAACTGAAGATTGAGGAAAAAGTGTGTCAAATAAAAAAATAGTAATTTTTCACTATGTGCTGCAGGTGTGATGCTTCAGTGAGTCTCCTGTTATTACTATATTTGATTCAAGCTACTTTTGGTGGTATGCCAGAAACATATACTAGCAAGAGCACTTAAGACTTATATACCACTTCACAGTGCTTTTACAGCCCTCTCTAAGCAGTTTACAGAGTCAGCATATTGTCCCCAATAATCTGGGTCCTCATTTTACCCACTCGGAAGGATGGAACGCTGAGACCACCTTGAGCCGCTGAGAATTGAACTGCTGAACTGCAGCTAGCAATCATCTGAAATAGCCTGCAGTTCTGCACTCTAACCACTGCACCACCTAGGCAATAGAGCATGCTATCAAGAAACTAATCTTTTAAGCCAGGAAGATAACCACAACACTATACTTCAGTGGTGGGTTTCAATTTTTTTAGAACCTCTTCTGTAGGTGTGGCCTGCTTTGTCGGAGTGGCTTGCTGGCCCTATGACTGGGTGGGAGTGGCTTGCCAGCCATGTGACTGGGTGGGCATGGCCAACTTGTAAAATGTGGTGAAACTCACTTAACAACGCTCTTGCTTAGCAACCAAAATGTTGGCTCAGAAACTCTGGCATTTGAAGCACGCAAGTCTTAAAGCTGTCAAGATGCAAGACCCTTGCACCCCTAACTCTTTAGAAAAAAAACTCAGGGGTGTTCAAACTTGACAGCTTTAAGACTTGTGGACTTCACCTCCCAGAATTCCTCCTCTCGCTCTTCATCTTGATGATGTGCGGATGAGCGGGGGGAGGGAGCTGGAGCCAGTTCCAAACAGCACTGTAGATTTGTGGAACCTCTTCTATAGAAGAGGTTAGAACTGGTAAGAACCCACCCCTGCTATACTTTCACATATAAAATGTAGGCATATATAGACATTACTTACTGCCGGAGGGCTTTTATTCTTGTCTATGTAAGTGAAGAGTTCATACAAGACCACACCAAAGCTCCACATATCTGAGGCCACAGAAAACCTGTTGTCTGTCAAGGATTCCAGAGCATACCTGGCATATAAATTTAATAAATAAATAGATAAAAACACCTGCAGGATAAAATGAGAGGACTCAGAAATCTGCAAATGCAAATATTACTGAGCATAACCAGGTTAAGTGACTTTTTTATTGAGAAATTCATGGTAGTTAAAAGCCAGAGGTCTTATGAAAAAATCTACTGTATCCTTCTAGTTTAGAATTTATCACCAATCGGAAACATACCAAAATATAGGACTCTCTCCTGGTTCCTTTACTTTGTAATATTCCTTATCCTGTGGCAAAACTTTTGTCAAGCCAAAGTCTCCAATTTTCACTCTGTTTTCATTCTCCACCAAGATATTTCGTGTTGCCAGATCTCTGTGTACATATCTTTTTGAACCCAGGTACTCCATGCCCTATATATAGATGGAATGGTGAAATCAAAATTAATTGGTTTAGTGAGTGCCAGAGTCTTGGTGGAAGACTTTATGAGTCATGTAGCTTATTTCTGAACATTGCACATTGTTTGCAATAACATCCCATTAAGCTGATCAGGAACAAGACATTATAAAACATCAAAAATAATCCTGCACCCTCAGGAGAAAACTATTTTTTTTACAAGACATATTGAACAGGAAGTTTCCTGAAGCTGATTACAACTCATCATTTTCTGTTAATTTCCACTAGATGTCACCTTTGTCTTGTTAGGCCAGAAGAATGAAATGATCAACTGTTTAGTTCCTTAAATTGTTTCATCATGCCTTGACATGTATGCATTACAACTGACTTTTACTATTCTTCACCTTCCATGGCAGAGTGAGACTTAGGGGATCTCTAATCCAAAGTTGTTTTTCTTTCGTTTAGTTTCTGTGACTGTTTTTAGCCAACTAGGAAGCTGATGTTAAATATTGGTAAGCATTATTTATGTGATTCAGATAAGAGCAGAAAGAATTACCATATTTTTCAGAGTATAAGACGCACCTTTTTTCTTCAAAAAAGAGGGTGAAAATCTGGATGCGTCTTATACACTGAATACAGCATTTTTGACCTCCTGAACTCCCACCTCCTTTGCAAAAATGGCCGTGCATTTAGGAAGCTTGTAATGTGCTCCTGGGGGCTGGGAAGGGCTCGTTTCCTCGCCCCCCCCCCAGCCCTCAGGAGCACTATAAGCCTCCTAAAGGCTATGCATGCCCTTAGCAAAAAAAAGGGGGGGCTGTTTTGGGGAGGTCTGCAGAGTGCAAAACCTTTTTTTTAATTTGCCCCTTCAAAATCTTGGTGCATCTTATACTCTGGTGTGTCTTATACTCCAAAAATACGGTATATCTATTGCAGGATATATTTTGGTGGAAACAATCCAAGTAAGAGTTTGGATCCTGTATGTAATTGTGACTGCAATACTGCTAAAATTAAATGAGTATGGGTTTTATGGTTCCTGGGGGAAAAAAAACTCTGTGTTTGTGTGTATTTGTGTAAGATATAGCTGCCCATCTTCCAACCAACTGTGGGTGGCTCCCAAACAAAGTAAGTGACTTACAACTATTCTGTTAGTGACTGTTAAGTTAGGGCGGCACTGAAAAAGTGATTTATGGCTGTTTTTGCAGCAACTTCTAACCAGTGCTGTATCCTCATAGTTGTGTGAGCCAAATTAAGGCACTTGGCAACTGGCACATACTGAAAGTTGCAGTGTATTGGGATCATATGATCACAATTTGTGACTTCCCCAGCTGGCTTCTGAAAAGTAAAGTCAACGGGGGAGTTAGATTTGCTTAATGATTGCATGATTCACTCAACAACTGCAGTGATTCACTAAACAAATTTGGCAAGGTCATAAAATGGGGCATAACTCACTTAACAACCTGCTTAGCAATGGAAAGTTTTGGCCTCCATTGTGATCATAAGGACTACCTGCATTAAAAAGCTACTTCAGGAATAAATGAAGTAAAAGTATCAAGGGCAGAAAAAAATTGGTTGATGCCTAGAACAATCCTACTCTATAACTATAATCAGATTAAAAACAGCTTTCATTATTATTACATTATCGAACATTCTCTGGCAGCTACATAAATGCCTTTCCTCTCCCCTCCCCCACACCCAATCAGTCAAATGAAGAGGAAACTAGTGCATTCAACTGCTTTTCACTATTAGAAACTAGTGTGAGTTAAGAAACAAGATGTAAAGAAAATTTTAAAAAAATAAGCAAGCAAGAGGAGTAACGACTGTGTTATGAAAAAAAAAAGATTGATTATAGAAAGGGAATAATGGGTTGATTTTGTGTCATTGATGAGGGGAAGAAAACCATTTCCCTACAAGAATATTTCATGACTATAATTTATGGAAAACAATGAAGACTATATATGGAGATTCTCAGCCATCCAGGTCATAGTTGTTCCAAAGGGGCTTTTTCAAGAGGCAACTGGACTTACTTGTTTTCCTTTGAAGATGTTTCACTTCTCAGCTAAGAAGTCTTTGGTGAAGAAGAAGTTTCTTGGATGAGAAACGAAATGTCTTCAAAGAAAAACCAAAAAGTCCAGTTGCCTCTTGAAAAAAACACCTCTGGGACAATGAAGACGGTAATTCAGTTTAATCCCATAGTAGGTTTAGTAGGATTAGTTAATGTATTACCTTACATATCTGAGAAGCATACTGTAGGAGTTTCTTATGGTCCATCCTGTCCTTGTGTTTCTGGAGATAATCCCGTAAACTGCCATAGGGTAAATATTCCATTATCAACTTCAGATTTCTCCGACCTTTTCAAACAAACATAAATATTTAGAACTATAGTTTAAAGTGATTTCTCCGTATATAGTACTGAAATTTTCTGACATTATGGCCAGCAAACATGTTTCTAAAAAAAGAAGGGAAGAATCACAATAATGAGGCTTGTGGTAATTTAAAACACCAATGCTGAATGATCCTTAATATATATATTAAAGCTTCAGGACATTATGCTTAAAACTCTAACTCTATCCAACTACTCTATGCCAACAAAACAGAAAACAGCAATTAATTGAACTCTGGTTCAATAGCTAAAGGCATTATATTATCTGTGTGCTTATCATTCCAAATATTTCTTTCAACTCTGAGCCAGCCAAGGGAGTATGTCAAGATTGGTATTGGTAACGATCCAAGATGCTACCATGTTTTTCTGAAAATAAGACAGGGTCTTATTTCCCCCCCAATAAGCGCTTGGCCTTATTTTCGGTGAGATTTTATTTTTTTTGAGGTGCAGGAGGTCGCAAACTTGGTCACCTCATCACTGCTGCTGTGTTGCGCATTGCTGGACCTGCCACTCTTTTTACAGTGGCCATTAGCGTAACAGAAGGGGTGCAGCGGGAGAAGCGCTTATACACAGCAGGAGGGAATATAACCTTTTCTCCTGAACTGGCAACAGGACACACATCTGAAGGAAATAAAAGCTACAACTTCTGCTGTTCCCTGGCCAATGAACAAGAAAAAAAAAATTGCATTGTGAGCATTACACAATGAAACAAGAATCTTAAATAAAATTACACCTTTCTCAGGCAGTGAATAGAGAGGAACACGTAGGACCTACACATTGTTGAACTATAACTCCCAATGGCCTCAGACAGCCTGACTAATATGAGCAATAGTGTTTTCCAGTAACATGGGAATGGGCTCAAGCTCACCAGTTTGATACATAGCAGCCTCTGTGACTATTAGGTAGATTTGTGATTAAGATATGAAAGAGAGGCCAGTATTATCTAGTTTGGTTTTGAAATACCATTACTTTGCTTCTAGCATCAATCAGCAGATTTAAAAGTAAAGCAAAACAAGTTTTAGGTCTGATAATATGAATATGTAAAAGAGATAATCTTTAGAAGTTGCAAAGAAATAATTTTGCAATCATTTAAAAGCCACCACTAAACAAAGTCTATTTCATGCAACATCAACATCAACAAAAATAAAAACCAACAAAAATCTCCTCATTGTGGAAAAAACAAGCTTTCAAATTTTATGTGCAGCAGAAGCTAATCAGAAATATTAAGACAAAACAAAGAAAGTAGCAGTTCATAAAAAATGCTTTTAACAAATTAACAGCAAATATTATCCCAGTTCACCAGCATGTTGCTCAATTAAGTAATGAATAATGTGATTAAACATGCAGGTACCTGCACTATAGCACACTCCTTTGTACTTGACAATGTTGTCATGTTGCAGAGATTTGAGAATTTCGATCTCTCTTTCGAAATCTCGTAAGTATTCTTCTGTGCTGTGCTGCAGTTTCTTCACAGCTACCACTTCCCCTGTATTATCCTGCAGTGGATCATATCGACACATTTCCACACTTCCAAAATTACCCTGGGAAATAAAGAAATAGAAGCATTTTGAAAAAAGTGTGCGTGCGTGTGGAGAGAGCAGCCAGAAAAGCAGGTAGTCCTCACTTAGTGGCCATTACAACAGACCCCCCCCAAGGCTACTTATGACCTAGTTTCCAAATACCAATAGCTGCACAATCTCCCATGGTCATGTGATTGCATTTTGGGCACTTGACAACCAGCTCTCCTTTATGGCCATTTGCAGTGTCTCAGTTACACGAGCATAATTTTTGGTAATTTTTCCAGTCCCCACTGTTTACTTTCTCTTTTTGGCAACAACAAAAAACCCCAACCATTGAAGAACAAGAGACTCACTTAATGACTGTGGTGTTCATGTAACAACCATTGCAAAAAAGGTTACAAAATCAGGAATGGTTACGTGGTGCCCAATAACCATCACAACTTACAGCCATAATTCTGGGCTCAATTATGATCAAAAGTTGAGTAATACCTGTACTACAAATTTTTCTTTCAGCCTAATGCAAGGATTGAGGCTGATATATGATGTGATGTGCAATATTCCAGCTCATTAACTGCATCTATCAGCAATTCAATACAAATAACTGTCCTAGGTTTGCATTAATTCACAGGGTGTTCAAATGAAGGAAAACCAAATTATATAAACCAAAGAAGAAAATAATAGGTTATGGCCAAGATAAATACACTCCCAGGGATCAGCAATTATTTTCTCAAGGGGCTACATGAGAAACTGAGACTCTCATGGAGAGCTGAACCTGATCTGGATTAGGCTTCCCAAAAGCATGAAGCCAACTCCTTGTTCTGACAAAAAGCCCTTTTATTAATTTACTATGAATTCTGCTCATTCACATCCAGCAAAATCTTTCAAGGGAAGATTTACAGTCACAGACCTTATCTGGCTTGGAAAGCTGCTGGGCTGATATCTAAAAAACTTGGCAAGGAGTCTCGCAGAATCAAGAACTAATTAAGCGAACTAATTGTCTCCTGCAAACTCCATTCCCCTTTTGCTCCTTTTTTATTTCCTCTGGGAGGGGCCATTCATCGTCCACCTGTGGCCTTACTCCCAAGACCCCTGTTCTTTAGCTGTTCCCTTTGTCTGGCAACTCTGTGCATGCACACCCTGCGAACAGGCTCCAGCTGTTTGTCTGCCTCACTGATGTCTGACTCTGAAGGCAGCTGATAACTGGCATACGGCTGTGGCCCCCTCTCTGCCTCCGACACAGAGCCCTCATCAGAGCCTTCCCCAGACTCCAGGACTGGCCCATGTTCCTCCCCAACCTGTCCAAATCTGCTGCCAGCTCCACTTTGCAAGCCACAACAGAACCAATAGGGCTGTGGAGGTGTGTATGCATGTGCATATATAAATTGGTAAAAAAAATAGCAACCACCTTCAAATTAAAAGCAATCCATGTGGGCTGGAAAAGGACAGCCAAAAGACTGAATGTAGCCTGGAGGCTATAAAATGCCAGTGACATAGAAATCTATTCATTTAAAAAAATTCCATTCATGAAAGGTAAAATAAAAGTTTCTCCTGTCCAGTTGTCTCCGACTCTTGGGACAGCACTCATCTCTATTCCTTAGTGGAGGGAGCCAGCCTTGTCAGAAGACATTTCTGTGTTCATGTAGCAGCATAACTATAGGCTGAAGCACACGGAACATTGTTACCTTCCCAACGAAGTCTCAACAACCTGGATCTTGAATACGGGCTGCCAGTTTTCCAGCTAAAGGCTCTGAGTCTTTAACCGCTGAGCCATTGCACACCCCCCCCAATTCATGAAAATGCATATGCAATATGAATTATACTGGTTTATGGACACCTAACATGTTCCAGGGATGCGGTGGCTCAGTGGTTAAGATGCTGAGCTTGTCAATCAGAAAGGTCGCCAGTTCGAATCCCTAGTGCTGCGTAATGGAGTGAGTTCCCATTACTTGTCCCAGCTTCTGCCAACCTAACAGTTCAAAAGCAGGCAAAAATGCTTTTGAACCACCTTTGGTGGGAAGATAACAGCGTTCCAGGCGCCTTTGGAGTTTAGTCATGCTGGTCACATGACCATCGAGACAGTGCTAGCTTTTTGGCTTTGAAATGGAGATGAGCACCAGAACGACTAGCACATATGTGAGACGGGAAACGTTACCTTTTAACATGTTTCAATTCATATGAAGTAGTGCATAAGTCTGAAAAAAAGGCATATCGTTGCAATAAGCTATCCCAGCTTCTTACCTTGCCAAGTTGCTGCAAGAATTTGAGGTGTCTCTCTTCAAAGTAAGTTGGGTCCCGTCCTTCAAAAGCTTCAGAAAATCCAAGACCACCAATTCTCATATTTGGTAACATATCATTTTCTGTCAATAATTCATAATCTTGAAAAAGGAAAAAAAATCCCAATTATTTAAATTGGTAATACAGGTTTTACATATATTACCTTGCTATATATAATACTTACAACAAACACTCTATCCTTGTGATGGTGAACCTATGATGTGCATGGAGCCATATCTCAGTGTGCATGCGCACACTGGCCAGCTGATTTTCAGGCTTCCGGAGGGCGGAGGGAGGCTGTTTTCACCCTCCCCAGGCTTCAGGAAAGCCTCCAGAGCCTGTGGATGGTGAAAAACAGGCCCAAGGGGCATACTGGAAGTTTATTTAGTTCCGGTAGGTTCATTGGGCCTGTTGTTCACCATCCATAGGCTCCGGAGGCTCTCCTGAAGCCTGGGAAGGGCAAAAAATGGCCCAACGGCTCTACTGGAAGTCTGGAAGCTTCACTGATGCCTGTGCGCATGCACAGAGGGGAATGGGGGGGGGTTGTGCATGCATGCACAGGAGGGGAGGGCATTGAATCATGGGTGAGGGTAACCCTTTTGGCACGTGAGCAGAAAAACGTTCACCATCACTGCTCTATCCAGTTACTATATCCAAGTTCTACAGATAGGATGAAATTCTAAGAGAACGGGAGAAAACGGAGAGCTCTTTCCTCCATTTTTCCTACCTGGCGTAAATAAGCTGTTCAGATCCCGTATAATTGCTCTGAAAGAGGGCCGGAAATCTGCGTCATATTCCATACAATTGTTTATCAAATTTGCCAATTCTGTCCAATTGGGAGCAGGAAGCTGATGCCTGTCTTCATAAAATTGTAGCTTCTAGACATTAAGACATTATATGGATTATTCATATAATTTTAGATTGATTTTAAAATGCTTTCTTCAGCAAGCGACAATTGTTTACGTTTCTTAGCATGCAACACAAGTACAACACAAAAGTTGTATCCAGGATCTTACACTCATTGTATCTTGGATTTTACACTCAAAGTTCAATTTAAATGGAGAGTAGGATTTTGTTGTTGTTAATTTCATACTAATTATATCTATTTAAACTTCTTTCTACAAGATTGTAAAACAGAAGTATTTACTCGCCGTTTTCTGTTACGCATTTCCCTCAAAATCCTTTCCCGCCCAAAAAAGCCAATCATTTCAAATAAATCAATAAAAACAAATCTGAATAATGGGTGAATCATAAATTAACAAATTAAAAGATGCTTCATAGAGCATTTATTGGAAGAGTTGGGATGTTTTCCCTGAATCAGTGATATCACAAATGAACTGTTTAAGCCTTTTGATTCCAGACAAGACCTAGGAGCACCCCCTTTTCTTCTTCTGAACAGAAAATCACCTTAAAATTATTTAATAAGTCACACTGAATTTTCTTAATATTATTTTAAACCTTAACCAATATCAAAAAGCTAAGACAAGTTCAACTTAATTCATATTTGAATGGAGAGCCACAGGAAATCCATGGACTGAAGACTGGACTGAAACTTAAGAAAAGCTCAGGTGGAAAGCAAACCACTTCCAAACTGTCTCCAAGAAAACACTAAAGGTGCAAGTAACAGAGTTTAATCCAAGGAAGCTTACTTAAAACAAAGGACAATGTCCTTAATAGTTCTCCTACTTAATGCAATCTAACCCTCCTCTATAAAAAATAGTGGTGGGAGTGGTGATGGGAGGCTCCACCCACCTGCCCAGATATTATCATGTCCCATTTTTGATGCTCTGCGCATGTGCGGAAGGTCCTGCACATTTGGGAACGAGTAGCGAACGCGCTCACATTTGGGAACGAGTAGCGAAGTTAAGTTGATTTCACCCCTGCTATGGGGATAAAGGTTCTGTCTGATAGACCAGAAAGGCAGGCATGGAAATCATACCTGCCAATATACCAAAACTATTTTCTAGACATTAATGTAAGAGGGAACCGCAGGAAGAAACTGCACTTAAATATGAGAACAACCGGTGTACATCTAGCAAGATTCATTGTAGAGGGACAGAGATTGCTCAATGTGTCTTACCCTTTGAGAATCCAGTGCATTGAGGGGTTTGTCTCCTCCACTGCAGATTTCCCACAGAGTTGTCCCAAAACTCCACTTGTCTGCTGCCTGGCTCAACTGTTTGGGACTTTCAATGCATTCTGGGGCCACCCATGGAATCCTCTCCAGAAGAACTGACCATGACAAAGAAAAAAGAGTGAACTTTTACTGGGAAGTAAATCTTTAGACTAAAGATTCCTGGAGTATTTTAATTGCTTTCCAATTTTATAAGCTCTTGAAAGGAAGTTAATAAGTTAGTAATGAATTCTAGTCCCGCCTTGGACATGAAGCTGTCTGGGTGAGCTTGAGCCAGTCACTTTCTCTTAGCCCTAGGAAGGAGACAATGGCAAACCACTTCTGAAAAGCTTTGCCAAAACTGCAGGGACTTGTCCTAGTGATCTATGAGAATTAGACTGAAAGGAAGAAAAAAAAATAACAAAGCAAAATAAAGATCAGTTTAGTAGAAATTTTGTTAAGAAAGCAAATGCCTTTGGATAAAAATGACATGATTGTTGTATATATGTTGTTTATGCACTGAATTCTTTGCTATAAAATATACTTGCTTCTATATATTAGACACTACTAGTTACAAAGCAAGAACAGCTGTGTAATTTGCTGGATTTGTACCAACAGATTATCAGCATTTTGACCCTGCAGAAAGTAACTGCAGCATACTGCAAATAAATATTTTGAGCTTACACGCTATGATATTTTTATACTTTTTTCAGCATCATATTGCGGTATGCAAAATCATCTCATAAGAAAGACATATTTACAAATGCAAGCAATTTTAAACAGTACAATTTGGTAGCAGTGTGATGATTAAAATATGTCCCACAATTGTAGAAAGTTCATCTTGAAAATACAAAGGGAAACAGGAATTCGCTGGAATAAAATAATCAGTGAACTTGGAGAAAGAGAGCCATGCACATGACATTTCCATAAGGTGTTCAAATTGGGGAGTCAGAGACTTACTGTCTTTTGGCAAAACTGTAATGCTGATACCAGGATCACTAAGTTTGATAAAAGGAAGGTTCCCAGACTTCCTATCTTCCTCTCTGACAAGCAAGATATTTTTTGCACATACATTTCCATGCATGAGGTTTTTATCCTCCTGAAAAAGGAAAAGGTGAAAATTTTATTATTCTACTAAATGATTATGCAGTGGTCTGCATTTCGCTAAATTTTCAGAGTCAAGCTGTGTTTACTTCAAAATACTATTTAAAAATATTAATCGTAAGGAGATTTAAAAACTGTAATACAATGTACAGTTCTTCTCTAACCCTAATTCAGAGATATACCACTGTGTTATGCTTGATGGTCACATATGCCACTACACAATATTTAGGATCTTGAGAGAGGTGGCATAAAAAGGGATGTTAAAACTTTTTCTAACTTCTTCAATTTATCTATCCTCTTTTAATATATTAATGCCCCAGCAACTGCAAGGCTCCTATTCTGAGTGTGTCAAACCTCTGGATTCAATCCAGACAGCTCCCAACCAATATAGCAGGGATCTCCAAACCTGGGAACTTCAACACTTCTACACTTCAATTCCCAGAATTCCTCAGCTGGACATATTTGGAGAGCTCTGCACTATAGGAACACGGTGGTTTTAGAACAGCCTTTTTCCAATGATTATAATATCAATACAGAAACCAGAGAACAAGACATTCTGTAAGTGGTTCCTAAACCTTGCCAAAATGGGAACGGCACCATCTAATTTAGCAGGAAGCATGGAAGATATTTAGGAGACAACTGGTTGCACTTTGTGTTGGGAGTACTGGGAATTGTGTTTAGGAGACAACTGTGTCAGTGCATGAGAGTTTATGATTTGGAAGACATGGTAACAAGGTCAGCCAATGAATAGGCATAGCAACTAAGTCAGCCAATGAGGGCTGTTGGAAACTGAAACAGTATTTGCTGTGTGAGCAACAAGGAGACAGCAAGGAGCCTGGNTGGAGGGCAGCATCTGGTAAATTGGAAAATCATACTATCCGATCAGACAGTTTCTGTATGGTAACAATTCAACAAATCCACAAGGTTGGTAAAACTTTTTCTAGTTCCAGTGAGATTATATTCTCCATTTTCATTTTTTGTTATCAAGCAATGTTTATAATCAATTATGCCGTCTTGCTGCAAAATGTAAAGAAAGTTTTAAAATACTTCAATTCAATGCTTTTATTTGTAACTTTGTAAATTTAATCGAATGCCATGCATAATTCTACTTTGGCAATCAGGACTAGGAATATATCTTGCAGCCATATTGGATGGGCAAGTGAAATAAAAAAATTGAGAGACTAGAAAAGAAAAGATTTTATGGCAAAGGAATGGCTGGGTAAGACATGACTCATGGTAGTTCATTACTAGTCCCTTTGCAGCTTTTTAAACTTTCACTCATCACACAAACTCCATTACAAACAATGGAATATGTTGGTGGAGGGAACAAAATTATGTTTTATTTTTACTCTGAATATCCAGCTACCATGACATTAATATTTATAGATGCAAAGTGTAAAATCTGGTCGGTTTTACTTGCTCTATAAATGCCATTTAATGTAAGCCTAATTTTGTTTTAATCTACAACAAAGCTTGCTGGAACAAAGGATTGACACAGCTCAACATTCAGCCTTGTTTAATACAAAGGAAGTGAACTGTGCTGCTAAGAATTGCTTTAGCATATTAAAAAAAAGTTTGTATAGAAAACATTTTGGTTTTTTATAAAGCAAGCTCTGAACATGAATCATTTTAATTGCTTTGCACTCTGCTTAGAAATATCACAATAACAATACACAAAAATTGGCAACTTAAGAGGCTAAATATATGAAAAGATCAGCAGCATATTCTTCAACATTTATAACTTTTAAAGTAAATTGCAAATACTTATGAATAATATACTTTTTTAACAAATGAAGAAGCCTATCACTTTTTGATAAGTTACTCTTGAATAATAAATATTGTGCTCTGTCTTTTGAAGGAAAAACTGAGGCTAATAATCTTTATAAACCATTTCAGAAGTTCTTCTAAGAAGTTCCTGAGACTTCCTGTATCTCTTTCTAAGATACTGTTCTATTGGCAAATTCACACAAATGGATATAAATCACAACCAAACTCTAAAAATTTAAATATTATTTGGTGCTTGAATTAACAGTGTCAGTGAATGGGAAAAAATAATAAAATATTGGTCCAATTTGCTGCCAATTTTCATAACTACATATACGTGTGTGTGTATATGTATATATGTCTGTGTGTATGTACACACACGCACACACTTATCCAAAATAAAAGAAACTAAAATCTTGTCTTAAGCATAAGCAAAGCAGTTAGAAATCTGATTCCTTAATACTAACCTGCACAGCAAAGGTAAGAAAGTACTTATTAAACTCTTTTGGACTGCAACGAAGAACATAATAGCCAGTCTGATTGCCAGCTTTTTTTAGTTTGCTGATTGCAAAGTCCATGCTGTTGGAAAAAAAAGAGGAAGAAAAGCAAAGTATTAAAAAAAGCCAACACAGTTCTGAATTACAGAAAATATTGGGATATAGCAGATTTTTCACAAAAAGAATCTGTCAGTGAAATGGCAATTCCTCTTTTCTCTTAATTGATCTTTGACTACTCTTTCCACATTATTTTTATTTTAGTAAATAAAAAATTGCTAAAATTGTTTCCCATTTCCTTGATCTGTTCTTTTACCAGCAGAATGCCACCAAATAAAATTTACAATTAGCTACAATGGCAATTGGGACAGGAATATCCACCACTAAGCAATGTGGTTGTAGTGTAATGTCACATTAACTCATTGCTTAACAACAGCAATCCAGCTGTGTTCCCCTGGCCTTGCTGGACCCACGCGAAGCTCCAAAACATCTCAAGAAGTTTACAAATGATCTGGACAAAGTGCAGGTACAGCCTTGGGAACATGGTTTAGCATAGCTATCAGCTGCTTCATAAATGGCCAGACCAGGCGTGTCTCAGAAGCAGTTGCAGGAAGAAGGAGGTGGTGAAGCTGTGGGCTGCACAGTCGGCAGGGCCAGTGAATGCAGCATGACAAGGATGGCAACCACAGTACAGTAAGGGTGACAGGGCCAGCAAGTACAGAGTGGCAAGAGCAACGGGCTGGCTAAAACGGCAGGGATGGGAGGTAGAGTAGACAGTTCGAGGGAATTAAGCATCCCTACGGTTTTAAATACAGGCAGGTTGCCAACTGCCCAAATTCTGATCATGTTATGGTGGGGGTGCTACAGTGCCAATTGTTTTGGGGACCATGACACAACCTTGAACCATTGCTGAACAAATGGTTGTCCTTTGAGGGCTATCTTTAATTGAATAGGGCAAAATGGGATGGACGCAACAGATACTAAAATAATTAAACATATTTTAAAATAAAATGGAGCTTCAGAAGGGGTTTGAAGAAATTTGGCAGGCTATAAATTAGGACACAAATCAGAGAATTATTCCTCCTCCAGTTAGACAAAAAAGAAATTCTGTCTTCCATCAAGATAATGCGATTTCCTAAAGATGGAGACTAACATCTGACTTTCTCTGAGTAACATTGTTATGGTGAACTTTTTCCTATGCAATACTCATTTGATTTGATAATTCATCATTACCTTAACTGGAATATGCTAATATATTAAATTGCTCAGAACCGGGACATATTTTACAGAATCACATACATATCTACTCTGATATATTCTTTTCCTCGTCTTTATGAAAGGAACAGAAAGATGTAGTCTGTACCAAGTGTAATTTCTTTTGTTAGCAATTTTCCATATTCCACAACAATCATTCAAATAACTAGTGCGGGTGTTCAAAGATAAAAACTTATAAAATCTGAGAGTCTGGATGGAGCTATGTATCAATTCAAACAAGTTAAAAGGGATCCAAATAACTGTTACTAATGCTTTGTTCATAGGCACAAACAAGGGTTAGTTAGTTGATACAAATGAACATCTCTCTCCCTTCCTTCTTGTCTGCAGCACTCAGGATCCCTAGTATTCCAATTCCCATCTGCATGACTCCCTGCTAACTACACTGGTCCCAGACATTTGCTGATTGGCAGCTGCAGGAAAATGTCTTTTGCTTTTGAACTTCCCCTACTGCTAGCAGTAACAACAAAAGCAAGAACAAAGCTATTTTAGTCTGCTTTCTTGGGTAGAAAGAAGTTTCTTCCTCAATATGGTTGCATCTATAATATAATATAGATGCATCCAAGTTGCATCTATAACCATGGAGGCAAGGTGTGTGTACAAGTGAGAGGGTTAATGTAAACCGTGATTACTGTGTTCCCAAATGCCTAGCCTAGTATCTGATGTGCCTCTAGTTCAAAAGGTTATCCATTCCAAAGATAAAGGTTAGAACAAAGTATTACTTACGAAATTGGCCCATGGCAATTGCTCTGGATATTTTCAAGAACTGAAGGAGGTGCCACCTCTTTACAAAGGTAATGATGAGCATCCGCTGTTAATCTATAATATCCATCGATTAATGATACAAAAGAAAGAGCTTCTTTTAATGAATGAAATTCCGCTTCCTGTAAAAGTCAAAGAGAAAAAATATGGTTGAGAATGTGAAGTAATAAAATGCAAATTACAAAAAAGCATGGTCAATGTTATGCGCTCAGATGAATAAGCATGAGTTTTCTATCTTAACATTATGTTTTTGAATAATGCTATTTAATGTATTTATTCACTTTGAGTGCTGCTCATTCCTGAATACTGTGGGAAACAATGCACCATAAATGTAATGTAAATTTAAAAGAGTAGCAATTAAGGGTAATATTTGTAACTCAGGTTTGTAGCTCCTTGCTCATCCTTAAACAACAGAAAAAAGAAAAGAGTATCTATATAACATATTCAAACAAAATGGATAGCCACACAACTTTATCAAAAAGTGCTTGACCAGTCAAACCCAATACAGCACAACAACCAACACAAGCCCTAAAAAGCATAACACCGCCATACATGAAGAATAGCTCNACTGCACTTGTTAAAATACACCAGGCAGTTGTTAAGTGAATAACCTTGTTGGAAGCTGGCTGGGAAGGTCACAAATGGTGATTACATGACATAAATGCTTGTTGGTTGCCAATCACCCAAATTGCGATCATATGAATGTGGGAATGCTGCAATGGTCATAAATGTGAGGACCAGTCATAAGCCACTTTTTGCAATGCCGTTATAACTTTGAACGGCTGCTAAATTAATGGTTGTAAGTTGAGAACTGCCAGCATTTCATATGACTGTATGTTATATAATACATAAAGCATAGTCTTTCATTAATTTCTCAAACTCCATCCTGTCTCTAAAAAGTTGGGGACAGTATTATTAACAACACAAGCTGATGCCAAATGTGTGCAAGATTAAATTCAGGTCAGCACAAATTACATTTTTATCGGTTTAGGGTGGTAATCAAATCTTTTCTAGTACTTTGCCAGCTAAACCACCTGAATTATAGCAAAACGACCTCATCTCCCTGTAGTTATTACACATTACTGGAAGATGTGAATTTCCTTTTGCTGACTCATAGAACTAAGCAGAAATTTTTCCCCACAATACCAAAAACAAAGTAGATGAACCAAAAAGTGTTTAATCAATACCTTTGCTTATCCTAGATAAGCAAAGGTGAATTACGACTTCAGACCAATTTAGCCACAAGCTTCTACTTGCTTATCACATCTTGACATGATAACCGAATGTGTTAACTGACAAGAACCCACCAGATTTTCCCAGATCTTGACTTGGCATGGTTTCATTAAGCTGGTGTTAGCTCAAGGTTCTCCAACATATAGGCTACACAAGACTCTTTATTCCATACTCAGCAGAAACAACCACAACAGGTGTATGAGTTCTGCCCACATGAATTTGTAATTTCCTCTTAATGTTCACTTTGGGTCAGTTTTTGGTGCTTCTTTCTACCCTTCCTACAATTTAATGAACTTTTTATCCAATATCCTTTCACCTTGAAGGCAGGTGATTCTTCATGGCCTATTGGGCCTGTTTTTCAGCCACCCCAAGCCTCCGGAGGCTTTCCTGAAGCCTGGGGAGGACAAAAACGGCCTTGCCCGGAGGGGCTTCAGAAGCCAGAAATGGATCATTTCTGAACTTCTGGTTGGCCCATTGGGGCTGTTTTTTGCCCTACCCAGCCTCCAGAGTCTTTCCTGAAGCCTGGGGGCTTCCAGAGGGCCTCCAGGGGGCCAGCGGGGTCGTTTTTGCCCTCCCCAGACTTCAGGAAAGCCTCCGGACCTGGGAAGGGGTTGTGTGTGCATGCGTGGGGAGGGAATCACACGCACATGCGTAGGGCACAAGGAGGATTGAATTGGTGTGGGCACGCGATAGCACACATGCGCACAATTTTGGCACGCCATAAGAAGGTTAGCCATCACTCTCTTAGACTGTTCAATTTTTTAATGAAGCAAAAATGAACGCCAACATGAAGCAAAAAGGCATTAAGAAAGCACTTAAAAATAGCTTACACACAGATATGCACACTTTCAAAACACACAATAGTCATTATATTAGAATTCATTGTTATTTGTTATAATGAGGACCACTAATTTTAAAAGTTTTAAAAGGAGATTGGGCAACTAAAGAGAGAAGCTATCAATGACTACCGATCACAGGTTGTATTCTTTGAAACCCAACTGCTATAGAGAAGGGCTGTTACCAACTTACACTTGTGATTGCCTTGAAATATTTTATTTGGTTCTGTTACTAAAGTAAGTGAATGGTTGGTCTGATCCAGCAGGATTCCTATGTACCAATAGAACCTTTGCAGCTCAGCCTGATTATTTTCTTGCAGAGGTTTCATTACTAAATTAGATAACATAATCAATGCTAGCATTGAGATGTTGCCCACTTTGGTATTGGACCATCTGCAAGAAAGCAATCAAACTCTGAGAGCACCAAGGACTTAACAGCATTTTTCCGTTTTCAAGACAAGACATAATTGTTTTGCACAATTGTGGTTAGTGTAAAACCTTTACTATTTCATGTTTTTGCCCTTATTCATTATTTAAATATTGTTATCTCTACTATAGAAAGAACTCTAATTAGAGCACAAACCATTAACTGGATTTACTCACTTTCTTCTCCACAGACACAAACTCCATAATTTAATACTAAATGTTTGTAAGAAAGCTGACTCATCATGCTTGCTGCTTCAAAGAAAGACTACAAGAAAAACATAACAATTAGAAAGTGAGTCAAAGTAAGAACTGGTTGGAATTAATTCAATTATATTGCCACACCACTTCATTCCTCATCTTCTGCTACTTCTACTTGTTGCACAATTAATTCTGCAGAACTGGTCTCAGAATTGTTGTTTTAGGACTTCATTGCCACCATGAACAAGTACTTTAATAATAGATGTAGTGGAATGTGTCAATGGGCTTGGGAAATGAAAGGATGAGATGCTATCCAGGAAATTACCAGATAAGACAGGTAGAAATCTCAAAGGGCTTAATAGTTAGAGAAAGAAAGGACCCACCCAGTGGTGGGATTCAACCGGTGTAATAACCGGTTCGCTGACTATTGGAGCAAACCAATTCGCTCTCAGCTGATGGTTGGACCTACTGGTTTGCCCAAACCCGTCCAAACTGGCTGAATCCCACCCATGGACACACTGTTCAAGTGGCAGTAGAAACTCTGTACTTTCAGACTTGCAAAATTCTGTTAATTAAAATAGAATCAGTTCATCTTCTTGTATTTCCTGTCTGGTTTTATCAGCAAATGGCTGACAACAGTGTCATTCACTGGCAAGAGGTAAATTTGTGATGAACATCTGAATGCCCTTCATATTGGGTCATCATACTGTAGATGGCTTACTGTTATATAGAAATAAGATTCAACGAAACAAAGATGGGAACAATTAACACATCAGTCATTAGAAAATTGCTTTTGAATTCCAAGGTACAGAATATTTTTATAGTCAGACAAAATTTCACAGATAACTTTTATCAGCTGTGTTGTATTATCAAATTCAACACATTTGCTTTCAGAAGGCATGGAAAAAGCTGACACAGTTTATCTTCTAACTGTTGATGGTTCAGAATCATCTTAATTCCTATTTGGCATAGACATTGAATCGGTATTTCTTAAACATTTTCATGGAATAATCAACTTCATAACAGTAGAATTTATCAGAATTCTTAGCTGGGAACAACTAGCACATCTGCGTGAGGGGAACCTTTACCTTTATTTAGAGTAGGTGTAATATTTTAGTACAATCTCTAAACCAACCCCAATTCAGTACTGAAAAGCTGAAATTCTGCAACTTCAGGAAATGGAAGTGTATATTTTTTATAAATTATTTCATTTAAACCATTCATGGGAGAAGAAGAAAGAAGAAAAGCTGNGTGGCTCCAGGATTTGGGTCAAGAGGTTCCTTTATTGCCTTTATTATTGACTTCACTGTATACAAGAATCTTGCCAAACTGTTTTCCCGTGAGAAAACCAGATAAAAATCTAAGAGTTTGCATTCATATGCTTCCTCCCATCTATAAAATTCAGGTTTTTTATTTCTCTTAACTCTCCCCAGTGGGCCTGCCTTCCTTTCAGCCATTGATTTCACCACAGGTTTCAAGTTAATGGTAAGGTCATACACACAAGGAGGAAGCAATGAAGTTCTTGCGTCCTCCCTGAAAACCTTAGCAAGCTCTGCATGCTCTTTTTTTTCTTGCAAGGAACAGCATTCAAGGAGAGGAAGAAGTGTTAAAGTGGAAAGCTTACAAATGGTGCTTCTAGACATTTCTGAGATGGGGAAAAAGTTAGTTGCAGTGAGCATTTGGATCATGTGTTTGCAGCCAATCAATGCCCATCACAACTTCAACTGTAAGGAAGCTATGAAACAGAGTTGCAAGAATTCTTTGAAACAGTCATGTATTGTGAGCTAATTATATTGTACTGTAGCGTATTTCAGAAACTGGGGTTCAATGAACTGGGATAGTAAGATGCACTTGCCTGTTGCCAGTTGCTTGAGCCTCCCTTGAGGCCCTCTGATATTTTTGGAGTATGTACCTTTCTTAAGTGGCAGAGATTTTAAGCAGGTCACAGAGTTCAATCTGATGATCACTACCAAGAATACTCAAACTTAATATACCTTGAGTCAGATCTAAAAACCACAGAATGTGGCCTTTGAGCTGCTATAAAATTAGTTAAAATTTTAATTTTAAGTATTATTGGCATCTATTACAGTCTAGCCGATCAAGAAGCAAATAGAGATTATGTTTTTCAAAAGCAAACTGAAAGGTATACCTTTCAAAAAGCCACAAAGTAGTAATGATGGGGACATTTAATTATCCTGACATCTGTTGGGATATAAACTCTGCAAACATTGTTTTTTACTTTGAATGACTTTAAATCACCAGGTCACAAGAACTGCAAGCTTCTTTCACCAAGCAGGAGGTTGAATTAGATGTTTATGATTCTAATAAGATGTTATTCAATAGCAAGGAACTACTCAAATTAACTATACTTGGTTTAAATATGCTTGAAATCAAGTTTTATTTTGATTTAGCGCCTTTCTTTTTTTTAAAATACAGCATTCGATCTATCACTCAGAGGACACATGCTATATAATAGGTGTGGAAAATAGTTATGGGCCCTGATTTAGGCCCAGGCAGTTCAGGATTTTAAAATCCACATCAGCGTGTATTAGATCTCATACATATACAAGACGTTTTAGTATATGAGTCATTCCCCATAGTTATCTATAGACAAAAATATGTGTTCTGTACATGCAATTAATATCTAGAGTACATATTGATTATTATGTCAAAACCAACTTTCAGAACAAAACATACTTCAAGTCCTACAATTATAAGGGCATCAGCAAACAATTTTACACAAGCCTGGAAAACATTTCATTTATCAAAAGAGTTATCCAACTGAGGTGGAGCGAAAATGTGCACACTATCATTTAAAAAAATCATTTCTATGATTGCCTTCTATGGCTGCATTAGATACCAAAGTAATGCTAAAATGCAAAGCATATTATCCAATCTATTTCACCAATTAATACTCATAATACAAAGTCACCAAAGTTAGTTACAGTACCAGATTCTTGCTGTCCTGCTTGTGAATGGTTACAATTCTACTTTCTCCAGAACTTTCTTGATTTGCTTGCTTAATAGTGACATCTATAATATCAGGAAAATCACAGTAGGTTTGTATGCCCTGCAAAAAACAAGACCAAAAAAAATGTTGCTTTGGAAGATAAATATTTTAAATATTTAGATCAAGATTTGATGCAATTCCAATTTAATGTTTATAGATCTGACCTGCCAAATACTTTAGAGGGCCCACTGCTAATAAATACAGTATACGTGATAGTTTATGTGGCAATAACTGAGACCTTTAGGACAGGAGAACACCCCTCCTCCACCTTCCCCCTTACAACATCTGCAGCCTAGCAGAAATAGGGATTGGAACATTGCCGTATGATAAAAAATAAAAATAAATCTTTGGAAAGATTTCCAAAGGTCAACAAGTAGAAGGAATCCATCTGAATAAACTGTTGAAAGATTACTCCATCCTCAAGCAGCAACTGCAAATTGTGGTGAAACAATTTCCAAATATTTCTCTTCTGTAGTTATATAAGGAAAACCTCATGAAATACAAAGTTGTGGTGTTGCCGTTAAGAGACTGAACATTAAAGGTAAATTTATATACCAATACCACAGTGAAAAGTTGAAAATGCCATTTTCGGTTTTACAATAATTTCTATTGCTAAACCAGTTTTCTCTCCAGTAACAATACTGGTAACCTTAAGTAGTCTAAGTTTACAATTCTGCTGGTTTTCAGCACAAATTAAGACAAATTACATATGCATTAGCGTGGGTAGGCCTATAGTGTGCATAGGCCTATATGAAGATTAGGAAGCAACATATAGCTCGAACTCCACAAGATTAATCAAGCTTCTGCATCACTGAGATTGTGGAGAAAAAGCAGGTGCCGACTAAGATTTATAAAGCTTTCAATCTTCCTTCTGCCCATTATCTTCTGGGAAATTATCTACTTAGCTACTTCGTAATTTTTAATCACTGTACAGCGTTGTTTCTAATTAGTTACTATGCATTCTCATGACAAAGCAAAGTCATTCTGTCATCCAGGTACATCTTAATAGATTCCTCCTGAAATAAGCATGAAAGAACATGATCAAATATTACCTCATCTGTAAGCATCTCACTGGCATTCTGTTTTCCTCTGGAATACTGTATCCCACCATTTCCACTTATAATGATGGTTGCAAAAGATTCTGTATTTGAAGGTTCTCTTCCAGGATCCTTCACTTTAAACACTTCCGAGTAATAGGCAGACTGGAGGATTTCCAAATTAATGAGATATTTCAGTTTCAGATTTCTGCCAGTTGCTTTGCACTGGCTGAATTGCTGAATAAATTTCCGGAACCTGTACCTTATTCTTTTTCGTGTTAAAATATGATAATCTTGGATTTTTTCTCTGATGCATTTTGGCAAAAACATTTTGTAGCTGTGAATATAAGAACTACCAAATGAGCAATCAAACATCACTAAGAGCAATTCAAAAACAGTTATTTTTCTAGAGAAAAAAATCAAGGAGTTTACAACTAAGCAATTGTTTCACCAAATATTCTATCTACAGCCAACAAAACTAAGAACTTAAGGAGGGGGGAAAGAAATATACTATATTCAAATATAGATAAAAAAACAATTTAAGACACTTGCAATAGAATCAATATCTGTTTTCTGCAATCCGAAGTAGTATACTGGACAATATGTACATTTTAGAACTGTGGAGATGAAACTGATAACATACTGTAGGTCAGTCACATCTTTCAGAGTTGTACATACTGAAAGCTTTAGGGAAAAGTACAGCAGTGTGTATTCATTTTAATCTTCAATGTGTGAACAAAATAGAGCTCCCACCCATCCTTCCTTCTGCATTTTTGAGGACTCTCTAAGACAGATGACTATGCAATGCTGGGATGGGTGGTGTGTGTGTGTATGTGCGTGCATTCATGCGCATGCGCAAAAGGAAGAAAGAATTGTCATTTCTGTTTGCACAATTACAGTTTGGGGTTTCTGCCAACAGATCTGAAAACCTCAACTACCAGTTGTGACAAACAGGTTCAGACAAATAGGTTCAGAAACAGTTATTGTTCTAAACCTAATGGATATGCATATTTTTTGTTAAAAAAAGATCATGATAGAAAGGAGAAAAAATTCCCCTTGATACAACTCTTTGTCATCACTCCTTTAACTTTACTGTCATCTATAGCAGAGGCATTAACCTTTGCCACCTAATACCAATACTTAGATATGAATTGCAGTGCTCTATCTAGATAACATATATGAGAATGAGAATGTACTTTTACATATGATGTATAGGCGATTCATGTACCATTTCAAAAAATAATTACCTTACAGAATTGTAAATGGCTAATGGAGTTTGGTCCTTTTCTTTGGCCATTCTCATCATATCCAGGACAGCCATTCCAAGACATTCTTCCTGTGTTTCATGAGTCACAGCCATTTTTACCCACCCATGGACAAAATCTTCTCGCCACTGAATCAAAAACAAGAGTGAGAACTCAGGATCAGTGTTTAATTGTGGGTTACTTTTACTGTAACTTGAAAAATCTTTCATAAGATTCAGCAGTATTTTGATGCTACTCCCAATTTTGCTATACTGAAAGCTAGAACATTTCAAGTGTTTTTAGATAAGCAATATAAGCATAATCAATCTAGGAGTAAATAGCTATAGACCTATCTAACAAGTTAACAATTTTTACCTGAGCAAATAGGTAACACATGACAATATCATCAAGGATGGGACTCTCTGCACTTCGAGAAACGCCATACCGATATGCTCGTATATTACTGCTACAATACCAGTGTGGGAAATAAAATCTGTATGGAAACAGTTTGGAACATATTAAAGTTTTTACTTTTTTGCAGAATACAGTTACTAAGCTCTAAATGAGATGAAATTTGGGTTTTGAGTATGTATGTTATTCTGTCAGTCAATCAAAATGGTTTTATATTTTTAAATTGTTACCTCTAATTTTTTTTAAGTAAAATTCATAAATGTGGGCGCTCCTCAAAACTCATGAGAACAATATTCACACCACAATTTTAACATTTTTTTTACTAAACCAAGCAGTAATTTAATATCAATATGTGTCAAATTACTTTTCAATTTGAAATAACTATTTTTGCTTAAATTGGCATTTAGCTAGTAACTTCGTCAACTGACAAATAATTGTCAATCAAGCCACTAAGATAAAGACTGATAATTAATGGGAGGAAATCTGATTCAGAGTGAAGCCTCTGGTAAGAATTTTAATTACACACACACGCACACACTATGCAACCAACTCTAATATAAATTCTTATGCTAAATGTAGTCAACTCTGAAGATCAGACTTGTGAAACACACTATGGTCACTGCATATAGCTTTTGAGAAGAGATGGCAGAAGTACCAGCAGTTCTCTAGATAAAGCTATTAAGCATGGTACAACTGCTGATGTACATCAATTTAATTCTAGAGTCTAGAATTGGAGAATAAAATTTCCTCACAACTGCTATTGGTTTACATTATAAAGCTGTGAAGAAAAAGTATATTGTTTCCATATCAGCTATTTGATAAGGAACAGAATAATTTCACTTATGCATGAGACCAAAGACCAATCATCATGCAGGCACTATGATGTGGGAATATCCAATAACCACTCTTGTAGTTTGTGGCAACTACTTGCATTACCTCAAAATTATTTTTCAGATCTGAATAATAATAAAGGCGGGGTACAAATAAATAAATATATCTGCAGTGTGACTCTTCAATCTGCACTTTGCTTGCTCAGAGGCTAGTTCTACAGTATAATGATGGAAATTCTAACATACTAAAAGAACTGCTGTTTTTGACAATCAACAAGTGCCTCTTCACATTCTGTACGTCATCCTTCTTGTATCACAACCTGAATTACGTTGTGGCACGATTCAATGTTCTAGGCTAAGTTTCTTAAAATGTGGTCCTAGGACTCCTGGAGATCCTCCAGGATCCTCTCAGAGGTACTCAAAATCAGAATTATTTGCAGTCTATGTTGAAAAATAGTACAATATCAAAATCCTATTAAATAATCATGAAAAGCGGTGAAGCAAATTTACAGTAAATATAATTTTTAAAAACTAAAAGGGATGCTGAGGGATTTTTTTTTAAAGAAACACTGTTATAGACATAGTACGTTATTTTTTCCCCTCTTCTACATTTCACTCATTACAGTTTGCCTATTGGAAGTACCGCTCTATAGATGATGCATTTTTCTATGCTTCCTCTTAGCTGGTCACACCTGGAGGAGGAGAATACTCATGTGTGAATTATGTTTATTGATTTTAGTTTGGCGTTCAACACAATTATTCCTCAGCATTTGGTGAACAAACTGGACCTATTAGGCTTTAATTCTCCCTTATGTAATTGGATACTGGATTTCCTTATTGATAGACCTCAGTTTGCGCGAGATGGAAGAAAAGTCTCCAACTCCATCTCGTTGAGTCCCCATAGGGCTGTGTCTCGAGTCTGCTACTGTTCACCTTGATGACCCATGACTGCTATGCCAAACCTGCTACAAATCATATTGTGAAGTATGCAGATGACATGGCAGTGATGGTTCTTATTCAGGACAAAAATGAAGATGCATATAGGGAAGATGTAAAGGTTCTGTTGAATTGGTGAAATAAAAGTAACCTGGTTCTAAATGTTAATAAAGCAAAGGAGATTGTAGATTTTAGAAAGAGCTTGCATGGTCATACTCCACTCAGTATCAAGGATGCAGCTGTAGAGGTGGCCAACAGTATTAAGTATCTGGGGGTGCAGATAACTAACAATCTGAACTGGTCTCTCTACACATCATCCTTAGTGAAGCATGCAAACCAGTATCTGCACTTCCTGCATCAGATGAAGAGAGCACGTCTTTCTCCTTCTAGCCTGGCCACTTTTATAGTGGCACAATTGAGAGTGTTTTAACAAACTGTATGACTGGTTTGGTGACAGCAGTGCCTCAAAGTCCATTCAGAGAGTGGTAAGGACAGCTGAGAAGATTATAGGAAGCTGGCTTCCTGTTATTCAGGATACTGCTTATAAGCGCTATGTGCTTAGAGCGCAAAGCACTGTTAGAGACCCCACACACCCATTTCATGGTCTGTTTCTGTTGCTCCCCACTGGGAGGAGGTTTCAAAGTATTTCTAGCAGGACTTGCAGATTCTGTAATAGCTTTGTTCCCTATGCCATCCATGTGGTAAACTCGCAAGTTTTGTTTCTATCGCCATGTATATGTATACTTCCGAACTAGACTGTGTTGTTTCTCCATGTCATATAGTATATGTGGGTACATGCATGATTTTGTATGTATTTATTTATCTTGTCATGTTTATGTAGTGCATATTAGAGGTGGAGACCCTTTGAGAGCTGCTTGCAATGAAATTTCATTTTAATGTATGCCGATTAGTGTACATTCAAAGTGACAATAATGTTATTCTAAGTTATTCTAAGATAGAAGGCTGAGACAATCTTGAGCTACTCAGAATTGAACTCCTGGAGTGAGCAGTGAATTAGCTTGCAGTACTGCACTCTAACTACTGTGCTACCAAAGCAAATCCTCTATTTCAGGAGTGTCAGGCCTGGGCCAGATGCATCACATGCAGGCCGCGCCCAACCCAGCTCCGCAAAAACATGTGGCAAGTTTTACACCCGTGCTCTATATCCTTCAACTAAGGAAAAGGCTTGCATTGGGCACTGATCCTGACACTCTTAAACTATTTCAAGGTGGATGAAATTAAGTTCCCAGGGTTTCACAGAATCTTTATCAGCCATGCTGCTGTAAAATCTATGAGTGATTCTGTTGTTCAAAATTGTCAGTAAAGGGCTAAAAAAAAATACTGCTCGCTGTATGAAATACTCTTATTTATCAGATCGAATTTGGGCCAATCACTGGGACCAGAGATTTACTCTTCCGAGCTTTCAGACTTGTGCTGGAGCCCATCTTCAGGGAATTTCTCTCTACTGAAATACATGTTTTGGGCTGTTCTATCAGTCTTCCTATAGGTTGATTGGTGTGTTGATGGCTAGCAATTGGCTGTTGTTTCCTTGTGGAGCCAAGCTCTCAGCTCCTAAGTATTTGATAAACTGGTGACAATTCAGCATTCCTGTTAATTCTTATTTATGCCGACATATTAGAAACTCAGATTAAAGAAACCATTACCGTATTTTCACCCATATAACCCGCCCACGCAAATAACCCGCCCACGCAA